CTCCGGAACTGAGCAGGAGGAAACGTGCAGCATGGGGAGCATATAAGACAATTGAGGACGTAGTGAAGAAGACCAAGAACATCCGGCTCCGCGCCCACCTTTTCAACTCGACGGTTCTTCCTGCTTTGACGTACGCTTCAGAAACATGGACAATGAGAAAGCAGGATGAACACGCGGTTAGCGTCATCGAACGAGCTGTTGAGAGAGTGATGCTAGGAGTGAATCGACTCACGCAAGTGAGGCAAGGATTACGAAGTTCTACCCTACGTCAACGATCGAAGATCAGGGACGTTGCCGCGTACGCCAAGCAGAACAAGATAAGATGGGCCGGGCACGTAATGCGTTTCGACGATAACCGGTGGACGAGAGCTGTAACAGATTGGATACCACTGGACGTCAAACGCGAACGAGGAAGACGGCCGACGCGATGGTCAGATATGTTCACGAAGTCCTTTAATGAAGTCCTTCAGAGCGTTCCACGTGTTCCTGGTGCGATACGTAAACATTGGTCAACAATCGCCCGAGACAGGGACGAATGGAGGCATCACTGGTACCCGCTCGTGCAACACGATGATCAACGAGGATACAGGTGATACAGGTGATACAGGTGATGCATAACGTCTTGGGCGCTCTTTTGGAGAGCGGAGAGGTGTTTTGCTATCTGGATGATATTATCGTAGCTACGGATAGAATGCGTGCTGTTTGAAAGGAAGGTGGAGTTTCTTGGTCACGTCATAGACCAAGATGGCTTACACATGGACCCGACTAAGATAGAGGCGATTCTGAAATACCCCTTACCGCAGTCGCGTTCACACCTCCGAACCTTTCTTGGAATGTGTTCATACTATAGAAAATTCGTGCTCGGCTTTTCTAAAGTAGCGGGCCCCCTGCATGAGCTAACCTCGGAGAAGAAAAAGTTTGAATGGACTACGGAGACGAAAGCAAGCTTCGAAAAACTAAAAAGGATCATTACCAAAGCACCAGTCCTCGCTCAACTATTGAAGGCGCGCGAAGTGGGATGAAACCCTTCAAAATCCACACAGATGCCAGCCAACAAGGCCTGGGCGCGGTCCTTAGCCAAGAAGGAGACGACGGGTTACTGCACCCGATCTTTTTCGCATCAAAAGGCCTAACAAGCTGTGAGAAAAAGTATCATGTCACGGACCTCGAGGCCCTGGCTGTGGTGTTTGCCCCAAGAAAGTTCCACATGTTCGTCTATGGTCTACCCGTAGAGGTGTATACAAATTATCAGGCACTGACAGCGATCTTCAAGCGCACGAACGTCTCAGATAGAGTGCTACGGTGGGCACTTGAATTGCAGAAATATAATTTGAAGATCGTCTATTTGAAAGGTGCCGCAAATAGAGTAGCAGACGCGCTGAGTCGCGGAGCAACGTGCGAACAGGAGCATCGCGCGGATAGAGCGGACACCATGCCAAGTGAGCTTATCGTAGCCTGTGCTGTTGAGGAAACGCAGTGGACCAGGGAACTAGGCGAAACGCCGGCGTACAAAAAGATCATCGGAAGCCTGGAGAAGGGTGAGGTAGATGGTAAGGTAGGGTTCCCGGAGTCGTCGGTAAAGTTCAGAGTAGCTGATTTTATAATGAACCAAGGCTACTTAACGCTGGTGGATAAGGACCATTTGCGCAAAGTCGTGCCGCCATCGGAGAGGAAGAAAATCTTCCATGAGGCGCACTATGGGATACTGGCGGGGTACTTTGGCCCTAAGAAGGTGTGGCGCGAGCTTTGTAAAAGATATTTTTGGGAAACAATGCGACGAGACGTCGTGAGTGCTTGTGCCACAATACGCAACGCGCAATGGTTCCCCCACTGAAACCGATAGTGACTAGTAAGCCATTCGAGATTGTCGGTATGGATATACTAGAAATGGGACCCACAACAGAAGGTAACCGCTATATCCTAGCAGTAGTTGACCATTTCTCGAAATTCGCGGGGCTTACGCGATTCCATCCAAATCCGCATCAGTCGTAGCCCGAGTATTTTTCGAACGGTGGGTGGCAGAAGGCGGTCGCCAGCCGAAATGTATCCTATCGGATCAAGGAGGAGAGTTCGAAAACAAGCTGATGGAGGAGCTAAGGAAGCTGATGGGATGTGAGCAGGTGTTTACCAAAGGCTATAACCCGCGTGAGAACGGCATCACCGAGCGCTTCAATCAAACAATCATCGCAATGCTACGGAAGAAAGCGCAAGTGGCGGTAGAGTGGGACAAAATCCTCCCAGCATGCGTTTTTGCTTACAACACTACCGTCCACGAATCCACGGGAGAGTCGCCTTTCTTTCTATTGCATGGATTTGACGCGCACGTCCCCCGGGATGTAGCCGGAACTGAAATTAGCAAATACGCTGTGGACCTGGACAGTTACGTGCAGGAATTGGCGGTTGGCACGCAGATTGCCCGTGAGTACGCCCGAGGAGTGAACGAGAAAATGCGAGAGCAAATGAAAGCCTCGTACGATCGCGAGAAAGGAGTTGACTCGCGTCCTGTTCCTCCGCAGATAGGCGACCGAGTATATATGAAGATACCGGGAGAGCGGCAATCATATCGCAACCCTAAACTAGCTAATCCCTGGGAGGGACCCTATCGGGTGTTGGACACCAGCAGCAATAGCGCGCTGATCCACTCATAGGTGCGAATAAAGAGCCTGTTAAAGTGCCTTTTGACCTGCTGAGAAAACTGCCCCGGGGAATATCCGATGAACCCCTTAGAACTAGAAAGAGTAGGGGAAAAAGGGGACGCCCGCGCAAGAAACCTACATCTGATCCAGTAATGTGTGGCTCAACTTACTATTGCAGGACGCTGATCGAGGCCAACGATCCACTTCATCTTCGATTCCGATGTGAATGCGGCCTCTTTGGACAAATGGCCCACGTCGCGCTGCCTGGCCTAACACACGCCATGGCCCGATCGAAGAAAGTAATGGGCATGTTCCAGTTGGCCAATGTCGCGTCCGTCTCAGAGGAGCAATGTTGGGGCGACGAGAAGAAGGAGACTGAATTGAGGAGGAAAAACTCACAGTTTATCACCTCCTATGGATTGGCGCTGGCCATGGATGGACATCGCCGTCGTTGCCAATTATATGCCAAGAGGCTCGCCGCCGCGAAGGGGGTACGTTACGAACACCCCGCCATTTTTCCGTGGGCAGTGCAGTACAATTTGAGTGAAATTGTCATGGAAGCTATCACTATGCTGGAGCAGCTGGAACCTCCAGCCCCTGCAAAAAGTACAGAGAGAGATGTCTTCATTGCAGTGCCGGTGGCCTTCGCAAAGGTAAATGCCGAGATCGGATATGAGGATAATATCACTGTTTACATCTACACGGATTTCGGCACACTCGCTAATAAGCTACTGAACCACGTGATCACCAAGAGCATTATCGTCATTTGGCCGCAGACGATGCCTGAGAACCGGCCCATGAGGCAACTTCTCATCAGCCTGGAAAGACATTCTAGCCGACGGAGGGGCGCTCGCATTTTTCCCGTTCCCATACGAGGATTCTAATGCAGCCGAATGGAGGAGAATGGGCGAAGTGTGTAGAGAATTCACGCGCTACATCACGAACCCCCGAAAAAACTTCGAAGCTTTGGTACGAGATCATTATTCGGATGTATTAGACGCTGCCCCCTACACCCATCCCGCGGTCTGCTTGGGTAACACCCCGACGCAACTCCACTTCGACCTTAACGGACAAGCAGATGTTGCTGTTCCTTGAGAAGATGCGCATCACCATTGCCGACCTCATTCGTCTCCCTGAGTTCGACTTCGCATCAACTCAGCTGAGGGAACAGCGGGCTCGCGAGAAAGCGCGTGCTAGGAAGCGTCGTAGGGAAGAGAGGATGCCCAATTTCTGGGTCATCGAAGACCCGCAGAGGAAGCGCCATCAGCAGCCCATAACGTTCCATCCCCCACCTACCAACAGCCGACATGCCAGTCCCCCACGCCGCCGTGAAGGATCCGGCAGCCATCGTCGTAGTCCGCCACGCCGCTCTCACTCCCATATTCGTGTACGCAGTGGAAGCCGTCGCCCACTTGGTCGCCCGCCGCTCGAAAACCGTAATCCCATTCCACGTCAACAACCTCAGAGTCGGGACGACTCTCGCCGTCGCCGAGGCATGTGAAGGAAATGAGGGATCAAGTGATCTGAACAGTTTTGAATGGTGCTGTAATTTTCCTTATCATGATCTTGCTTATCTTATCTGGTATTGTGTATCAGGCACGTGGCGGCATGCGTATCTTCTCGGCCGCTATATAAAGCGGTTCCGCTCGGCTAAAATCACTTTTGTCTTCGGGTTACCTAGCGTGCGGATCAATCAAGCAGCCGAGCCGAGAGGAGACGCTGCCACCGAGCGCCTGGAGGAGGATCTTCAATAAAAGGATTGCAACACACCCCTGGACACCACGCCGAGCCCCCGCGATAGCGCCAAGAGTAGGCCAACTATTGCGTGACTACGACTGAATTTTGAGAAGAGGTACCACTGTGAACGGTCTTTTAGGGGAAAACCACGAAAAATTTCTGATTTGCATATTCGAGTTTTTAAGCAAGCAGGACTGCAAACAATCACCATTGTCCATTTTGAGCAATTTGGAAACGGAATGGCAGTTGAGCTAGAGCCGATTTGCACGACATTGGAAGATCTCAAAGTTGAGCAGACGATTTCTTGCAACACCACCATTTGTGACTTCGACCATTGTCTTCTCAGATCCACGGAAAAGACAAGCTCGCGGACAAGCGACGTTGGTATGGAGGTGAAATGGAATGTAAGTAGTAGATTTCAATCCGATGGAAGCAGCTGAACGAATCCAATGGATGTCGCGATTCAGCAACGCCAGTCCTTCTCCAGCGGGACAAAGGGAAGATAAAGAAGAAGAGCATTATGGAATCGAGAATTTCGTAATGAACTTTTTATGGTACAACCGATTGCTTTTGCAGTGTTCCTATCACAACAGTACCGAACATCCTGAAACGGTATTAGAACTCAAACTAACGCACCTCATCTGGCACAGGCTCATGCTGATCGGCGGAGCCACGCGAGCCACGGTCGACAGCCTCGGGGGTTTTTCGTCCTCCATCAACTGATCCAGCCAGTGATGCGCGCTCGCCAGATTCAGGAGTCTTTTGTCCTGTTTCAACAGATCCGACAGATGACCCTTTCGATGCATTTTCACCAGATGGCGGTTTTGCCTCAGCTGACTCTTTCGGCTGAGCATGTTCCGGCTCTCCTGACTGTACAGGAGCTTCGGGTTCCGCTGGAGGTGGCTGTCCTCCTTCTTCTTGTCCTAGTCCTTCTTCTGGAGCTTCTGCAGCAGCTCTCGCGCGGTTCTGAAGCATTGGGTCAGTGTCAGAGTAGGTTCGAAGGCTTTCGGTGTCGAAGTTCTAGAAAGTAGTGGAGTTTGACTAGCGCACAGTCACTGACATTAGCGCTCACCGAGTGCGGCATGTGTGGCGAAATAAAGACCGGCAATGAAGGCTCGTACTTATATAGTTGGCGATAAATAGCTTATCGATATAGATTTAAATTATTATTCCATACATCATTCTTAAAGCTTATTTGCGGTTGCGGAATAAGATGTAATTTCGAGCTAAGGTCTTACTAGGGAAGGATACTTGGTCGAAGTGGCGTTTCTATAAGAGATGTACACACTATCTTGTAGAACATGAAACACTGATTCCAAACCTGCTATCGGTATCTTGAAGCGCTTCTGGGAGGGGAGTCCTGGGAATTTTTTGAGTTAAGAAATCAATGATTTGGCTAAGATAGAAATACTCAGACAGTCGATGGGATATTTCCGGAGCAGAAGTGGCAGGGTCGCGGGCTTTCCCCAGCGGAGGTTTGCCACTTCGCGCTCCGGAGCCCTACCATTTCGCGCATTTTTGTGCTCCGGGGCTCTCCCAAAAATGGCTCAGCTCCGGAGCAGAGATTTGTGCGTCGCGGCGAGGGGTCCCATTCGTCCTGTTTGGACGTCACCGTGACGTCACGGTGAATGAATGGGACCCCTCTCCGCGACGCGCAAATCTCTGCTCCGGAGGTGAGCCACTTTTGGGAGAGCCCCGGAGCACAAAAATGCGTGAAATGGCAGGGCTCCGGAGCGCGAAGTGGCAGACTCGCGCCATATGCCCGCCGGAGGTATCCCCTCGACCGCCTGAGTAGGTGTTGCGGTCTTTCCGACGCTTGAGAGGAGTAATGACTAACATGAGTTCATTAGATTGAAGGTCTTCATTTCATGAAACGTCCTGATAGTAATCATGGTCCCATATGAGCTCACGGACCAGTTTTTGAATGATTTTGTTGTAGTAACGCTTTCAAATTTTTGCATTAAAACTTTTCCATAACTCCCCTCCCAGAAGCGCTTTGCAAATGTCGAAAGCAGATTGAACTCAGCGTTCTCTGCTCTATGAAAAGTGATACATTTCGTATGGAAACGCCACTTCGACCAAGCTAGCGGCTGGCAGAGCTATCATTATTCTTGACCGCCGCTCTCAAACAAATCACAGCCTCGCGGAACTCTTGAACAAATTTTGCACTGCCGATCTATGCTATAGACCCTTCTGTCTCTCCATTCTTCAACCTCAAACAATGACCTGACGAGTTTATTCAACGAACCTTTGCCCAGCAAACATTCGAGTACATAATTTAGTACGTGCGAATTTGCATGTAATGCACAGAGGCAGAGTAGTGATGCGCATGGAAAGTGGAGATCGAGGTGACCGCTTCACATGTGACAAAACTAGTACAAGTTTGGTTGACCAAGCACCGGGTCTGCGAATTTTATATAGGCCTCTCTACCGTCGGAACCCCTTGAAAAGACGCACAGCAGGTAATATACAGCAGATTTGTTAGTACAACTCTGTACATTGCACAAAGCGCGCGCTATAATACGCGTAATGCAGAGTGCCAATCTAATAGGCATATTTCCTTGTTTACTTCGCCTCCCAGGTCTCAAATGCCTCAGCCCACAGGCTCACTGACCACTACAATCAAGAGATACACACTCGAAAAATTTAAAACCTTGGTGTTGTAATACAGTAATCGTTATCGAGATTGTGTGCCTGGTCAGCACGTGAATTCGAGTATTCTGCTGCGGTTTCATCCAACGGTAGCGCTCTCACGTAGCGAACCCGGTCTCCCGCAATGTATCGTGCATCATCTCTCTTCCTTCGAAGTTGACATGTTAGAAAGATCAAAAGGCAGCTATAGCGATGGCTCATATGGGAGCAATTTTGCGGGATGCACTGTATACGTGCGTACATTGTGCGTGGTCATGCATACTTGTTTAAGGTACCAATACTAGGAGATTTGTTTCAAATTTGCAACCAAATACTGATTCATCTTGCAGCTGAGAATTTATGAAGACAAGTCAAAATGAGTGATGATAGATACAATGGAGCTTCGAGATCGGAAAGGCACAGGGGAGTTGTAAGAGCAGCAGTCGCGATACCATATATGCACAATTAGAAGATAGCTTGTGTTATCTGTTTCAGATTAGCGTCATACTTGAAGTGATTAGACATAAAGAGATCAGATGAGTAGAATGGTTTCACGTTCTCGATCTTCAGCTGCTGTGCTTTGTCGATGAAGTCTGATTCGGCAACCGATATTGATGTGATGTCATCTCTTCCACGCGCTGTCTCATAGTGCATCTGCTCCTTGATAAGCTGCTTGAGTATGAAGAGCAACAGTTCGCTCGAAGACTGATTTGTCGTCAAATACTTGGTGAATGTCTGAATTCGAACTCAGCCATCAACTGACACATCATCATCTGAAATCTTACGAACTAACCTTTCGCATTTGACGAACGATCGACGCCTTCTGAGTGCTTATGAAGCTTTCCAACATTATGCGGATAGCAGCTTGTACATCATCGTCGTTCACGTACCTAAATAAACGAGCTTCGTATTGAAGGTTCACGGAATTATGATTACATTTTCTACATTTTTTTTACACATTCATTCCTTCCTACATTTTAGCGCAATGAAGTCCACAGTCACGAATAATCCGTGGATAAATTAAGTTTATAATCAACTTACGTTCTCAGATGCAATTTGGCATGCGCCTCAGCAAGACGAATCATTGACTCGACGTGACGAACGGTAACAGCTACCGAACCAGTGGCCTAAATCAAAAATCCTCAAGTATGCTTCACAAAAATTCAGTTCCCTTACCATGCTTTGTTTTCTCAATTGCGCGAAAACTGTGGCAAGTTTTTCTGCGTGCTTCTCATGAAGTGTGGGGTGGCAGTTTTCTCGTGCATAAAGAATGTATTTCCTAAGCAGATCTTGAGGGATGAGGACCACACCAGTTCTTGCATCCACCACATTCTAAAAAATTCAATACGAAAAGAAGTCTACAAATTGGGTAAATCTCCAAACCTCTTCGTCGTGCTCGTCATCTTCATCGTCATCAACTTGGTTGGCAGGATGCAACTTCACGTGATTTCCAACTACGAACTTAGCAAGCCTATAAAAGTGTATTAGAATAAGAAATTATCGAACATTACTAGCGGTGTCACGTACCTTTCATCCTCGACCGGGTCCACTGTATCCCTGATCACACATAGCACATCAAATCGGGACAATATTGGTTCTGTCAAGTCAACATTTTCGGCAAATGTCCTTGATGGATTGTAACTAAGGCGTAAGACTCCTTATACTAATTTCATCGCAAACAAAATCTCCCACCGTCCTCCAATTGGATTCGCTGCAGCGATAACGGTACATCTTGCATGCAGAGATGTCACGATACCAGCTTTTGAAATGGAGATGGATTGCTGTTCCATTGCTTCATGGATGGATGTGCGATCTTGGTCGGACATCTTATCAAACTCGTCAATGAGGCATACACCCTTATCAGCAAGAACCTGTAAATACACAACTCACTCCTCTATTCTTTGAAAAAAAAATGGAAATGTAGTCACATCTCAGGCTGATACTGCGAGAAAAAAGATCCAACTACGCAAAATTTAGTAAAGCCCTGATTAGATGGGGATCATACTTAAATCGTTCAAAATGGCTAAGATCAAAAATCATACCATTGCACCAGCTTCCAGCGTCCATTCTCTGGTAACAGGATGTCGTTGCACATATGCAGTCAAACCTACAGCAGATGCACCTTGCCCAGTCGTTAGAACAGCCCTGGGCGCTGTATGTGCCGCAAAACGAAGGAACTGCGATTTTGCTGTTCCTGGATCTCCACAAAGGAGCACGTTGATGTCACCTGCAGAGTAGCTATGTGCAGATGAAACCCCAATTTCACTGTCAGCTTTGCTCACCTCTCAACTTGTGCTTTTCTCCAGGATTCTTTGATTCTCCACGGAAAAGTGCCAATGCGATGGCTTGCTTGACATAATCGTGACCATAAATGGAAGGAGCCATGGAGGCAAAAACTCTCTCGGCGATATGTGGATCTTTGGAGAGTTCACGAATGGCCTGAGAATGTAGACGTTCCCTATTCTAATCAATATTTGAGACAAAGCAAATCTCACCTTCACATCCTCATCAGTGAGTTGACTGCTTGCAAGCTTATCTTTGTTGGTTATGTGATTAGCATGGATCAAGGTGTTAAAGACAGGGAAGCCTTGCTTGTAGTTCAGCGCGCCGTCGAAATTGTTAGAATAGACACCAGTAACCTCCTTAAAACGTATTCGTAGCGAAAAAGACGATATACAGTTTAGTGACATACAATTTCGTCACCAGGCTTGCAGGAATCGCAAAGATCGCCCAGCAAGATGCAGTCTTTTGAACGAGGTAGACGACCAGCGGCAACTTTATTAGGCGATTCTTGAATGGTGATTCGTTGGTAGTTGTGGTATACTGTCTGAAGCGAAGCTGGATTACAAGAATAAAAGAAGAGATCGTAGCAGTCCGACTCACATTTTCAACATTCAGCTCAAATGGCCCTCTTCCCTGGCAAGAAGGACAGATCGTCGGCTTGACTTCTTCATCGTCACGTTGTATAAACGGCCCAAGAATATATCCACAAGCGACACAATCGTACTTCACAACAGACAACTGTGGAAGGATGCCTAAACGGCAGCAAATTTTTGTTACCTGTATTTTTAAATCTATTTTCTTTGTTCGTAAAAAAATTCCTACCAGTGGCAACAGTCACCACTCCACTAGTCTTGATAAGCATGTTAAGATGGATTTGTCGTAGCATACGTATGTCTTCTTCTACTGGCAGATGAGAGATGCGGACCTTCAATGTAATATGAGTTTGAGCGAAGTAACAGAATCATCAGTGCAAGTACCTTGATCTCCGCACACACACGACCATAATAGGGGTAGTGGTCCAATACAACTTCAGTTGCTGCCTTGTCCAAAATCCTCAGAACCTAAAGTCAATGTACAATATGTATCCAAAATCCAAATTATAACTGTTGGAGTGGTTTCTGATTCCAAAACCAGCTGGTGAAGGAGCCTTATCCATCTCCTGATGATCTGCTCTCCTTAGCCTGGTGCACATAATTTGATATGTGCCTCAATATGTGGGAGAGCTATATGGTGTGAAAAATCTAGGAATTTATTACGTCTACACTTTTGTGTGCCATTCTTTCCCATCGATTTACATCCTCATTGCTAATGATAAGAAGAAACAATTCAGAACCTTCTTTATCGAATGTCATGCACTTATTCCTCGTTATTTAGTGAGAATAGAAACTCCAACCTGTACAGGCGCTTCAGGCAAGAAATAGCAGATGTTCGGTTCGCCATTCTCATCAGCCAAATCACGAAAATCAACTTCGAGCGACTCCTTGTTTTCCGATGCCATTTGACTCATAGCCTAAACGTTCAGAGTGATTAGGCGATTAGACACGATTATACAGCTTATTTTAGTAGCGTTTTGATTCTAATGCTAGTACTGGAAATTCTACATTGTATGTGATTCCCTTATCTTACTTATTATTTCAGAAAATTCGCAAACCTTGTAACTGAAGAATAAGAACGAATGTGTAAAAACACACACACCTGTAAGTACTTGGCCTTTCTTGTCTCTGGATCTTTGAAAGCGCGAAGGAAGTTCTTGAATCTAAAAGATTATCACTATATTGCTCCTTCTTCTCGAACAAAGTGGAATACTCCTGAGACTTAACTACGAGAATCAGAGCTGAGATCCTTACCTCCTCTCAATTTCCCGAGCCACTGCTTCATCCGAAACGTGATCTTTGGTCGAACGACCTCTCAAATTTTCCAGGATGTCAATTGGAACTTCCTCTTCCATCTCCACATCTTCGGCACCCTCTTCTTGAACGCCACGTCGTCGACGACGCCTTCTCTGCAGATAAGAACCATTAGCAATAGCTGAAAGTATACCAGAGACCCCATACCCGTTCTTCATCCCCTTCCTCGTAAAAGAGAGCATCTTCATCAAGAAGCTGGTCTCTTTGGGCCATTTCCCTTTCGGCTGCTTGCCTTGCCGAGACAGAAAGATCATCTAGATCTGAGGCGTCATCAAGTCCAGATTCGGAGTAGACATCAAGTTCGGGTTGTGGGCGGTAGTCTCTAAAAGAAAAATAACTTTAGAATAAATACTTATGACTTTGTAATACGTTATACCTCTCCATATCGTCGCCGAACAAATTTTCGCCCTCTTCATCTTCCACCTCTTCATTCTCATTGTTGAATAGTTCATCAATGACATCCTCATCTTCGCCAGGTTGCTGGCCTAGTGGCTGCTCCGTATCTAAATGGGCTCGATGCAGCAAGTGCATGAAAATCACCGAAAAATAAAATAAAATTCAAAAGAACCACAGATTTGCTGCTTCTACTCACCCCCCCCCCCCCAATTTTGTTAGAAAAAAAATGAGCAGTACTGACCGTTTACTTCGGGAGACTCATCATCACGTCGAGATGGCATTCTGAAAGTACTAAGGGTACCAGAACAAACACTTCAACGACACGAGATATCTAATATGTCCGAATAAGAAGGTCAACAAAACTGAAGAGAAATGACTGAAATGAGCCAGCAACAGCGAAACTGACCATGGAATTCGCAGAATTTTCAAATGACCCTGAGCGCTTAATATTCGCGCACTTCCAACTATACAAGTTGCGGGACCTTTCCGAGTAAATGCTGTAGAGCCTTTAACGAAGCAATGCAAAACCGTGTAAATTCCTTTCCAAATTTTCGAAGAATCTGTGTTAATGTAGGTTCAAAACTTGAATTTGAAGGAATTTGAAGTGCACAAAATACAAGAAGTTCGAAGCGACGAGCTCCTCAAAGGCATTTTCCCACAACGTCACTTAACTTGCTTTTGTGCCATCGTTGAGATAAGTAGAAAGTCATCATTTAGTTCATAATCCATGTAAAGTCTTCGAAATTCATCCTAAGTGCAAAACTGGAACCACTATCGAGGTTGCCGCGCGGTTGCCGCGCGATCCCGCTCGCAGCGCCGCGCGGACGAGAGTATGCGGTCAACGGCGCGAATTATCGCATTCGAAACGCTGCAGCGGCGTCCTTTACGAACTTATTACAATAAACCACTTTTTCTTTGTATTTTCACTCATTTGTTGCTAGATTCTCATATTCCACCTATAAAATACTGTATGTGGCATGTTTAGTATGACTCGGCACGATAGCAGAAGTTTTTCTCGCAGGCGACGTTCAAGCGAAGTAATTGAAGTCGACAACTCACCGAAGGTTTGCTTTTTTCTCAACGAAAATCACTCTGATGGTGAAGGTGGTCTATTGAATGTGAGGTTGTTTGTTTTAGCGTCGTCGATCAAGTGAATCAGTAAATATCAGTATGCAAATCGACCGTCCATTCTCTCCGGCAACATTGGCACGAAAAGTGAGTCAAAAACATGCGTGTTTTGAAGATATTATGGAATTACCATGTAAATGTGTTTTTCTTCTTCATTTCAATAAGATTTTGTGATTTCAGCTCGACGATATGCGTGCAGATATTTTGAAGGATGCTGTAGATCAGCTGTCAGCTGTGGAGCTTCGTGGCTTTGATGGAAAAGTGGGACATCAACCATTTTGCAGTGATCACTTTATTGCTCATTCTTATTTCTCAGATGGAAACGGAGGAGGAATATATGAAACGACGTGAAGAAGTACGCCGTCAGCTGAGCGATCCCGATTCCTTCGATGCCAATGGGAAAACTGAGTTGAATTACGATGCAGCCGCAATCGCAGGCGCGAAACTACTAATAGATGAGAAACGAGCTACAAGGAGCATGTGCAAGAAGTAAGGCTTATTTACTTGTTGGAAAATCGCGGAATCCTTAAGGAACCCGTCACACTTCGCCGAAAAAAGCCCAAAAGCGCCAGAAAGAGCCAGAACGCCCCTCGCAAGTTTTGGCGCTAGGGCATGTGTGTTGATTGCAGCCCGGGTCTTTTTGGTTCATTTCCTGTCCTCTGCACATCAAAATGATGTCAAAATCCTACCAAAAGTTCGCTTCTGCGTTGTGGCGCTTTCTGGTTTTTTGAGCACTTTTGGGCTTTTCTCGGCGAAGTATGACGGGTCAACAATCTGAGGTTTCTCTTATTAAATCTCCGTTCATGCAGTAAATATCGTTGTATTTGGCATGAAGGAAACCTAAACTCTAGAAAGGTCTGCTTGCAATTGCAGACTATGGTGTATGCTTTCTTATGTTGGATTACCTCAATATATGTTATTCATCACATAAGTCTGATGATGATATGGTATTGCAGAGTTATTTTCATTTAGATTGCATGAAGATTGTGGTATCGATGAAGACGAAATTCTGTACAAACCTCTACCATATGACGAAGGAAATGAATTCCAATCGGCGAAATACTTGGCAGAGTTTGTAACTAATTATGACTGTATCTTCAGTGAGCAACTTTCACTCTTATAGCTCAAGGCAAGCTTCAGTCGTCGAATCCCTTGTGGATTTCCAAAAACAAATCAAGCTCAAATCAGAAGTTTTGAATTGCGTCGCACTAAGGAACCATGGTAAGCAGCTAATATGCATAAAATTTCATAACCCTTATTATTTCGGACCTAGATATAATGTCGAAGTCAGATGGAAGGTTGACGCGTCGAGCACGGGAAGAAGAACTTGAGCGCCAGCGAGCAGATGCTAAAGCTGCAAAGAACAAAAAGAAGGTTCTTTTGCGTACCCCATCAAAGCATACGCAAGTTAATCCTCTGGATGAGAAGAAGGTGACTGATTGGTTTAGATTTCCAGTGTCTTGTTTTTTATGCGCAAACCTTCTTGCTAATATTCTTCTCAGTGTATTTTTTTTTACAGATTATTGAAAAGTATGCTCTCGAAGTGGCATCAGAGGTACGCGAGAATCGTAAACGCCGTCGTATAGCTCCTGTGCCGTTTGACATCACTTTACTCGATGATATTGACTACAACTTTAGTGGTTGCGCAGCATAAACTGCACAGCTCTGTAATTTAGCCCCTTTCTGTAGAATTAGTTCATGTGCCTTATCACTAAGCACTGTATGGAAAGTTAGGATAAGGGCGTTCAATCATAGGCGAAGTTTCGAAAACTTCAAACTGGTATTTTTGGTTATTTTGATGTACTGTTAGTTCAGCTTTTTGTAAACATCTCGAGTTTGGATTTGCAAGTGTTGAGCTGTCTTTTACATCTGAATAGCCAGTAGTGCATTAGAATATTACTGTTAGTCATCACCTAAACTAATCCCAATATGTCATCGAATTATCTAGAAGAATAGTTTTGATTATTGCTTGTCCGGTTTACAGCTTCAAACCTTGCTTTTGTTTCTCTCTTGATCTCGTTTGTTGTGTTAAGCAAAGCATTGTACTGATGTGTTGTATGTAATACTAATCATCCACTTGCTCGCTTCTCTTCACTAATACTGTACAGTAAAGATACTCTGTAATAATTCATGAGAATGAAGTGTTTATGCAAAGACTGTATGTGAGGTAAGATAGGAGATTATTACATCAAAAAATGGAGGATGCTGGGTTATCGCTTGAATATTTGGAGCATCTTGCCTCGAGAGAATTGTCGAGCTGAATTTATTGAGGTTTACGAAATCCAAAAATGAACACGGTGATCAATGATAGAAATCAAACCTTCTTCGATTCCGAGACTGTACGCTGTATTCTGAACATTCTTTATATATTCAGCTAGCTGATCTGGAGTAAGGCGACCAAGCTCTGAATAATTTTCAGCTGACATCCGAAGAGTACTGATAAAATGGTTTGTAGAGGCTCAAAGATCAGTGAAAAGTAGTTAAAAGCGCAGAAATAGCTTTTAGGGACAGAATACAATCTGGAAAAACTCTGAAGAACATCAAGGTGTCGTTTACACTGCACGAAAACTTCAAGACAACACTGACATTTCATATTGGGAGACTACAGTCTCCATGTATACATGCATCAAGGCATCGCAACCATTTATTTGAATCATGAGAAATTTCTCGAGAAACAAATTTTGTGCAAGAAACCAAATAATAATGCACTTACCATTGACAAGCTTCACATCGTCTGGAGACAGATCGGTTCGAAAGTTCTTTTGCTTATTTGTGTACATACCCTAAAAGTAAACTATCTACCACAAAGTCATGTCCTTACTAAGACCATACATCGTGCTCAGTGTTATGCTTCCCAGCTCCCGGCACATTTTCTGGAAACAAAACAGGAGACGGCGCTCTTTGCAGTGATTCTGCGCACGTCAAGGGTACTGCAGAATGTGGAGGTAGTCGCGGGACACTCATCTAAACATATTTTGACGAAATACTGATGCTGACAAAATTGAGTGCGAGAAACCGCAGTAGCGCGAAAAAATTGGTGCGCCAAACAGTCGGATGGAAGTAAAACCTGGCATCAAGAGAAGAGTCTAAGCAGCATAAAATGATGTATGTTGAAAAGTGCATTTCGATCTGAACTAGCAAATTCTTCGAACTTTCTGTTGAGTAATTACCTAATTTCTGGCCTCAGTGGAGAGCATACTTCATTGAATTTTACGATAAACACTCAGAATCCGGTCATCCTTTTCTGACATTGCTCTCGGAAAGTAGGCAGAATTTTTGCTCATTTTAATATGAAAACAAAAAAACGCTTGAATTCAGTTCAATAAGAAAGAGAATGATGCAGAGATTACTTCATGCTTGTTTATTGATTAAAACTGAGTCATATCAGAGAGAGATCAATTCTTTCAAAAGGGAAAGACCATTTGTATACAGAGAATAAAGATAAAGAAAGAAATAAGTTCAATTATTCAAATTTTCAGAAGTTCCACGAGCATTCGCGACGCTGCCGCTCCGCTCGCAAAAGCCGGATTCGAGCACCGCTGTTGTCGCGAGCAATGATGCCTTGCTGCTAAGTTCGGGGGAACGTCCGGAAGGCGACAAATGACCTAGAAGGGTATGGGTCAGGAGTCACGATTTGCGCGAATTTTTCGCGAAGCGATCTCCTACGCGGCGAGAATTTGGTTCGAGGCTGTACGAGTTCCCGTGTATTGAAGGACTCCTCACCGCTGGGAATGGAGCATGTTTACTGTGAGAAAGTAATGGAGCGAGGGGCTGCGGGTCAGGAGTCACACCGCACGCGGCGATTCTGCGGAAAGCGAAGAGCTTTTCAACGGGCAAACCGTCGCTTCGCGGCGTTATTGCAGCATGCGGCGTGACTCCTGACCCGTTTCGCATTTTTTTTTTCATTCTTCCCTTCTCGCATTCTCTCTCTTGTCTCTTCCCATTCCATCGGCCAACATTTTTTTTCTTTGTTCAGCACGCGCAATATCAATCAAGTTGAGATGTGAGCAATATGAACGCCCACTCTTGTTTTTGTATTTGCAAGACATCTTGTTTTGAACTTACGTGTTTTCAGCTCGTCAATTATGCTCACAATAGCTTAGAGGAATTAGTAGAGCGGTCTAAGACGTTATGACTCTGATTGATTTGGATGGTGATTCCAATTATCTGAAAACAGCTATACATGGTCTGTCAGGAACAATTCACATTTTGCTTGCTTGTGATTTTCACTTCTCACTTCAGCTTCCTGAGTTGAGTTTTTGGAATTAATTACATGCATAAAGGCTTGTATGAGCCGAAACGGGATCCACTGCGCCGACGAAAGAGCATTTGGGATTGGCTGCTACACTAAATATACCCGTTTTTGTCATTATCACAAAGTGGGATCTCGTTGAAAAGGAGCGGTTGGAGAGGTCATTTTTTTAAGCATTAGTGTTCTCTCATCTCATGTTAGTGAATTTTCTGTCACTTTGAGGTGTGGGTATCATGGTACAGAAAGTCATTTGAGCTGTTGATCTTGTGGAAATTTTTGAACACCCATATCCGATTCGATCAATCTGATACGCCAAAAAAAAGAGATACTAGAATGCAATACCTTTAGGGTCATCGCCTCTACATCGACACTACTTTCACGTGCTGGAATGAGTGCTGGTAGCAAGCGACTGAAGTGGGAAAGAGACGCAGTAAAGTACATTATCCTCCTTCTAAACCTGATTTTTTGACTATCGAGAGATGTGTAGGGATTATACCGCCTTTCCTCAGGGCTGCTGGCGGCGATCGTTTTACGATTGGTACAGTCAATCATGTGTGTATCCTCCGTCACTAGTGCTGGTCTCGGTTTGTTCCGGTACTTCCTGAACGTACTGCCACCAACGGGTTCGACACGGTCAAGACTTCAGCTCGTTTCTCAACCTCCGTTATATAATCGAAGAGGTGTACAATGAGCATTTCATTGCTTTCGCTTTTTGGACATTATTGGTTGCCATACTGCATGTGGCGTCTCATTGTCATATCCCTTCTCATAAATAAGACCTGGCGTATGAAATGTGGCGTCTCATTGTCATATCCCTTCTCATAAATAAGACCTGGCGTATGAAATAGCAGCAATTGTGTGTAACTAGGCGAACTGATTTAGAATATGTATTAATTATCTTTACTGGTAGAGATAAAGTGTTTAGAACATTGAACTGATTTCGTCTGTTTCTGCCTTTTCTAGAAACGGTAGTAAAAATAACATTAATATTTAGTGCACAGCTAAATGTCTTCTTTGGGGGATGTTAATAGTCTTTTTTGGACGAGTGGACTTTCGCCATTATATCATTCAGCACCATTTCTCCAACGTTTGTAGCCTCACGTCAAATGAAACGAATTTGAAACATCTTTATTATTCTAAGTAGTCATAAGACGAAGCTGTGAAAGAAGATAGAAAATTTGGCTATAGTTAGAATCTGTACTAAAACTATCAATGTATAGAATCTAGAAATCTGTTGAATAGAGATGATGTGAAATACAATACAAATCGTATTATGTGAAAATAGTCACTGATCCGTCGGAGTTCGCTAAACTTCGGTTGCATCGCCATATCTTGCTTCTTAGTGGAAGCATTCTCATTCCAAAAGCACCATTTAACAACTCGACGGGATACATCTTTTGATACATCGAAATGCCTATTTGGGCAAGACAGTCGCTCATATTTCATGAACCCTTTCATTTTTTTGGTGGCTGGTCGTCCGTTGTACAATGATTAAATACTCCGAGTACCCTACTGTGAGCATTAATCTAGGGATCCTTGATATTTGGCCTCCTATCGTGCCCACAAATCTATATATCAAAGGAAGCATCTCGTTAAGCTGAGTTCAATGGAGCTTTTGGATCGAGAATTAGCCCACTTCGAAGCAAGATAAGCCGTCGCAACCAAAGTTCGGCGAACTCCAGCGGGTGCGGTGATTTATCGTTCACAAATTATAAGCGGTATTGTACATAGTTGGACAGTTGGAGAAATAGCGTAATGTAGAACTAGAAAGAAACACAACGCAGAGCTTTATAGAAAGCTAGCAAGATAATTTTCCTGATTGCCGCGTTGCTTGGTGTAGAAAGTTAGAACGCTCATTCGTAGAAAAACGAAGAAATTCTGGGAATGACCACCCAGGAATGATCTTGCCCTTACGCCCGAAAAAGCATTTTTGGTCGTCGAACCACTATTTGCAAAACTGCAAAAAGTTGAATGAAAAAAGTTTAGCACTTGAAGCCAACTCATAAACTCACCGCACACTACTCAGCAATGATCATTTCATCCTCAGGAGAACACTGCAGTTCATCAAAGATGAAGACGACGAACTACCTATGCTAACTGGCTGGCAGCTGGTCCCTCATGATACGTATAAGCCCTATTCAGGATTGGGAATCAACTTCCTACTCGTAGTTGCCTTGCAAAGGAAAATCGAAGCTCTCAAGAAGATACAGAAACCACTTTTCTCGTTTTCACACATACGATTTAGATCATTTCAGAAACTCAATGTGCGGAGATATACACCAGCCAAAACTTTGCGACCGTGACCTCACTGAGCAAGTATACCACTCCTGATTTCAATACCTGCTATATTCAAAGGAATGACCGAACATTGTGTGTACAATGGTTGAACGTACACTATAACAAAGCATTTTTATTGTGACAAAAACATATCTTAATGAAAAGATCATGGAACTAACGTAGCCTGATGAAAAGATGAATAGAAGATCAGTCTGTTAATAAAAAGGAAATGAAAAAATGAAGTATGCGAAAGCCAACTGTATAATCTATTTCAATTAGGAACTCAACAAATCCCTGCTCCTAAGAAGTTAAAGATATGGATTAGGGGCCCGCACCATACCAACTGAAAGCCGGAACGGCCATTACAAAATTCGCATACATTAAAAGATTGAATCTGTACATATTGTGCACAATTTAGCTCTACTAAAACTTTTGGTTGTTCGGGCGAGAAAAACGACAACATAGAGCATAGTATTGCTAAAAAATTACGAACTGATAGAGTTACGCAAAAAAGCATATTGACTTGGATGTAGAGGAAAGGTTCAGCTTCCCTCTCAACCTTATCGTTCTCCAGAATCACAAAACAGTCTTCACCAACCTCCTCATCGTTGGATAAATAGGATGGACAAACGCTCTACATTAAACAACTATACATAAACGGTAAGCGGATGAGAAGAAGTGACACTAACCGTATCCATTTACTTTCTCGCCATTGGCTGGTTTTGATTTGCGTCTTTCTAGTCCGTGGGAGATCGATTAGTAAACTCGCGAGAAGTGCGCTAGTGGACTGTAGACGACAATATTTGTAATGAGATGATAACCTGAATCGGTACTTATTCAAAGAAATTCACTGCGACACAACTCAAACTCAAAACAATGTTTTGAACGATAAGTTTACTACTCGTACCTCTTCAATTCAGAGATCTCTTTTGTGCGCTGCTAGGCGCTAGATTTGATAGACATGATTTTCTTCCTAACGAATGGGTACATATAACAACAGTATCAAAGACAGAATCCTGATCTAATCCTACGCACCTCAGCTGCAGCAGGACGCTGAGCCTTGGCAGTTTCATTGCGTTGGCGCAGTCCTCTACTTGTAATTTCGTCGCTTGAGCACTCCTGAACATTTTTCCGAATTTTGAGATATAGTGCCTTAATCGAGCTATGGCCTCATTAGAATCAGCCTGGTACATTCACTGAGACTGAAGGGCAATAGACAGCAATGAAAGACGAATCATAACAAGAGGCACTGGTATAACAAATACGATGGATGTGAGCAAAGTTTCATGAGTAAAGTTTGGGGAAAATACATGTAACTTACAGCAGGTTCCTCGAAACCTTCTTCATCACTATTATCACAATAATCTGCGCAGTGCCATTCGCAGTTCGCAACCTACAAATAACTGATGCGACCTTTAATAGAAGAGCATTTAACGAAAAATACCTTCTTTGGAACTTTTTCAAGAAGTGGAACCAGACAACTAATGTAGTAAAACTCGTGACAAGTATCTCAGCAGAAAATTAGATGTTGATCGCTACTCTAAAAGACAGCAGTGATAAGTGCTGTCTCATAACAAGACAGGACTTACCTTCCCGCACTCCGTACAAATACTAATGGACATTTCCTTTTTATGCTTTCCCGGAGACAAGTGACACACTTGCCAAATACTGCTTTAGCCACGCAGCTCTTTTGACTTGTAGTTCGTTGGGATTTAAGTAATTCCTGCAATTTAAATATCGGGGTTCCATTGCTTGACTATCACCAAGCCGAGGTTGGTGGGAATCTAACCCTCGCTGTGGTTTAACAGTACTCCCAACCTGAAATAAATTTTCCAAGCACTTTGCCCACATATAGGTGATGTTCTTGAAGAAAAGAACGATACCTTTGAGCACAAGTCGCGTGATAATACTGTTTCCACACTCCTTGTTCGCAGTGTGGTTACACTGGAGTGCGACTTCAGGACATCGTACAATCAATGCAGCTCTAGAACTACGAATACGCTGTGAATGTGAGTCAGTTTCGCAGACTGACCTTTCTCTCAAAATTGCGGTGATGCATTTCTTGCCAGCGGATGGCGGTCAGCTGATCTATATCACCAAACGTTATGCCTCGAGTATATAATGCGCAAACAAGATGTACTCATCGCCCATCAACATCTGACAATGGTACTATTCAGTCTTTGATTGCAAAATGAACCAAATCAAAGAGTTAACCTTATCTTTTCATAGCTCCCCGTAGACGGACATAATTCGCTGTACGATGGCTCATTGTATCCATAAAATGCATGGCTGGCAAAACTAAGGTCCCTAGATGAATAGATTCGGTACTGCCATTACCTTCATTGACGTATGAGTTCAGAAGAATAGGTGTTACTCACCTATGAACTCTTCATCGTCCTCTTCATCTTCTGTTAGGCAAAACCTGCTTCTGGCTTCATTTGTCGCTTACAAGGCGCAGAGCACCCTAACAACGGAATTACAGCGTCTACTAGCACATAAACGACGACCCGCCCTGCCACGCCTCCTCCTAAGTAGAAGCGATATCACCAATATTAAGGATGCCTATACTCGGCACTGTTATGTCAAAAACTCAACAAGTCGTCTCGCCACAAAATTCCAAGAAAAACATGATTTTCAAAGATGTCAGAAAATATAAAAATAAAACTTTAAAAAATTTACATCCAAAAAAATGATTCCCATTTCATACTATCAAGAAAAGAGGCCGTAAACACACTCGGTATCCTTCTGAGACAAAATTATAAGGCCCTTTTTTTCGTAAAAATGTGAACATTTCTAGACACTTTGTAAGATGATTACCTGGATTTAGTCCCACATTCGCATGAGATGGAAGAGGCAATTTGAATGTCAGTAAAAAATAGGAAGGATTAGAAACACGTAAGTAATTCAGCGTTTCTCATTACCCTGCAAATAGAGATGACACGCGTTACAGGAAAATGGATAGGTGAGAGTTACCTTCAACAGATGTGTTCTTAGACAACTTTTTCACTGACAAATCTGGACATCTTGCGGGAATATCTGAAATTTGAGTTATAACTATCGAGCATAAACATAGCATTTAAAAAAATTATAAAATACCGAATCAACTGAGATGTCGTTATGACACTCGTCTCCGACAGCTTTTTGAAGCTGTTCATATGCTTGACTATTCTTTCTCGCCGCAAGCGATATTTCCTTTCGACTCTTTTTTCTGTCCCAAGCTGAATAGTGCACTTTTCATCGTGTCTCGGATTAGGTGAGCAGCTACCTGGTCGATTGATAGTAGTTTTGCCATTGCGCTGGTATCTTCTTTTTTCAAACGTTCCAGGAGTACTTCGACGCTTGCATTTCTCCGCGAAAGAGACCGTCGAAGCTTACTAGATGATTTTTGTGAAAATAATCACGCAAATTGAGCTCCTAACTCCACCAACCTGTGGAATGTCTCTGCGATATTGGTGGTTCTCAAGCTTGATACGTTCCATTTCGACCAGTACTTCCGGAATGGCTTCTTCAACCATGTTTGGAATAGGTAATCGAGAAATTTCTCGCAAATTTCGTAAGCCGGATGATCTCTATTGACGCTTGGTCGATACAATCCCGGTAACTTGCGTAAGTATTTCTCTGGCACAAATGGGATTCCTCTAATGGTTCTATACCATTTCTTGACGTGGCGACTTTCATATTTCCCCTTCAAGTATTTTGTTAATCCCAATGAGTTCCTGTGCCTACTCCAAGCACGACTGAGATGAAAAAGGCACCCCTCCACTGATGAGGAATGAAAACGTCTCTCGGCTGCCCTAATTGCTGCTATTTCGAAGTCAACTATGATCCTTGGTGGAGCCATTTTCGGGTTAATTGAATGCAGCTGGCAGTGGATTTTTTCAAACACTTTTTCATACGTTTCTTGCGTTTTGTTGCGCATGAGCGCGTATGCCAAAGGAAGCTAAAAAAAAGCCTTTCAAGACTGATGAATGACAAACAACCTTCTCACTTCATGTTCATTTTCAAGGCTCGCATGTATTGTGTACAATTGTGCGTGATCACCCATTTTCGCCGGCAAGATTTTGTGTATACCATCCATAATCAAGGCCTTGATTCCCTGCTCACACGCCATCTGTAATCTCAATTTCATAACGCGTTCATATAATTATGATGCGATGTAAGCACCCACTCTCAAGGTGTCATCAGAAAAGTACAGATGGTACATTGGTGTTAACTCCTGTAGAAATGCAGCCCCATTCGAAAGTTTTGCATATCTCTCGGGTATACAACTCCAGTTGACTGAATGATCCGTGTGACATGATTTCGCTCTACAAGGGAACTTTTCCATTTGTTCTCAATACACAAACGGAAATCCTAACCTTTGTATACTTTTACGGCGTGTGGCTAGTCCTCTTTGGTAGAAGTGGGCTACCACTTCTTCTCTTGATGTTTCCTCAGTCATTGCAACTTGAAGTGTATTTTCCCACACTTCCATGACAGAAGTGGATGCCAATTCGGCAGTGTTTTTGATTTTCTGACATGCCTGGAATCGGGTTTCCCAAAAAATTGATTTACGCAATTCCACGAAATTAAAAGCGGGTGCTTCTACGAAAAGTTATGTACCTGGTACATGATTCTATTCGCCCTGTCAAGAGAAGCATTTATAGGACAGCATTTATGATTTTTGCACGGGTCGTCATAAATTTCGTTTCCCACAACCTGGAACATCAAACGGCGGACAAAATGATAGATAAGAAATTTTTACAAAAAACATCATGAAACCCCTAATTAAGCCGTCCTAGCGCGTTGACACCCAATGTCCCCAATCATTTTGACTTGTGTTCATGCAACTTGATATAGTTCCAGTTTTTCATTGTGCACTATACTTTAGACCGAGTCCAATGATTATTCGATTATTCAATTCATTCGAACGCCGATGATTCGAAAATTCGAATCATCGAAAACCTAAGATTTCAAATATTATTCAATAGTCGAATATTTCAATATTTTGATGTTTGAATGTTATTTGATATCCAAATATTCGAAAAAATTTCGAATCTCCTTAAGTATATTATGCACCCTCTTGGAAAAACGTACGTTTTCTCAGACATTTTTTGCGGATACTCGCGCGCTCATGGCCGGCTGGGCGAAAACCCCTGCCATGCTAGTGCGGGCCAGCAACGGTTGCAGTGTGTGCAGCGACCCTGTCACTCGGACGAGCGGGACAGCATGTATACTCGTTTTCTATGTTGGCCCGCGCTAGCATATCTGGGCCACCTTAGGGGTGAGCTAAGATACTGAAACTCGTTCCCTGCAATCCTGGGCCGATGCAACATGTCTGAGTCGGCGCCGTTTGCAAAACTTCTTAATGCCCAAAGTACAACAAAGGCCGTAAATAATCATGCCTCAAGCGACACCCCGCGGCCCTGCCTACATTCCGGTAGACTCGAGTCATTGGCAGTGTTGAGCAAGAGGTCAGGCGCAAGTCCTTCAAAAACGACCCCCCCCCCTTCTGTGAAAGCCCTAAACGACCCTCCGCTTCACCTCCTCCTTAGGGTGTTAAATTTTGAAGAAAATCAGCCTTCATTGCAGGTTTCTATTTTTTAAAATCTGTAGGCCCGATTTCTGCGGTTGCATAACCACTCGCAACTTGACGGCAAGTTTTAGATCTGGATAGTCCTCTTTTCAAAGCTATAATTCACAGGGATGGAGTGTTTGGCTTCATATTTTCAATATAACAAGAAGTGTCTTTGCGCTCAATACTCATATCAAAAAAGGGGCGATTTCTGAATTTTGAAGGCAAGTTAAGAGGGTCAAGTGCAACCCCTCAAAAGCTTAGGCGGACTGACCTTTTGAGGGGTTGAGCCTGACCCCATTGTAATTCGCTAGTTCAACCCTTGAATTCCACGGTGAGTGATTGAGCTTGATTCGAGTTGTTTCGGCCTTGTGCTAATCTGAGGAGTCGCAGCACTCAACGTTAAAAATGCGCCGATTAGAAATTTGGCAGCACTTTTTACTTCACTGTTTGAAAGCGATATGAAGCCTGATTTCTAGCATAGACTTGTAGAGAACATTACTTTGTTATGAGTATACAAAGCTGACATTCATCACTTCTGCAACCGAGTTGATCACGCTTGAAAATCACGCTTTTTAGACGTTGAGAAACAATGAAAACCAGTAGGTAATGGTTTGTAAAGCCCTCCCCCCTCAGTCTTACCCTCAATACGATCCCCCAGGTCGGGCGCGCCTGACCCAACGCTCAACCGTGGTCATTGGCAACCCCCGCCCACTCTCTCCCCTTACGGAATCGAAAAGGATTAAAATCAGACAAGCTTTAGCACTACTTACCCTTACAACCATATGATGGTTATGTTTCTTCTTGCATGCTCTGCAGGTGTACACGTCACTCCTCTGGTTTCTTCTTTGAAAAATGAAGACGTACGACATCCTAGTCCCAGGGATCCTGTAGCGAATGATGGGGTGAACTCCTTTCTGGCTGACGTCCTTTTCGGCGATGTAGGGCTGAAGTGACGTTGCTGCTTCACTTGGCATGGTCGAAGAGACTAATATCTTCCCCTCCACGTGATTTTTGGAGAGAATTATTGATAGATTATTTGATGTGCGATGTTTGATCTCCAAGATCACAAACTTTTTCAAAGTTTGAGCTACGGGGCTGGGAGTTGCCACAGGGGGTAATCGAGCATGCTGATTGCGAATACAACATTAGTTTTTGAAGTCGTCCACTATTTTTATCGATTTTATCGATTATTTGCAAAGTTTGAGCTACGGGGCTGGGATTTCGCACAGGAGGATAACAGAGCATGCTGATTACGATTGCAACATTAGTTTCTGGTATAACGTGATACTTTTATCGATTTTATCGCTTTCTGGTAAAGTTTGAGCTACAGGGCTGGGAGTTTGCACAGGGGGAGGGTAAGTGGGCATGCTGATTTCGAAAACAACACAGAATGCGAAAAACAAAAATGCGCCCTTGAATGTTTGTTCGAGAATGTGCTTTCATATCAGCGAAACGAAAGCATAACTCAAAGTACTTTCGAAATGGGATTGTCTATTTTGTGCAAATATCGCAACCAAACAGGTTCATCTATTGAGGAGATGGGCTCACAAAGCTAGAACGATACCCATGAACTCCGAGTCCGTCTACTCTGAACTGAGACACGGGGATACGACACAAATTCCGCTGAACTCTAGTGAAGTTCTGTGACTATTTCGACAAATTGTGAGTAGAGTGGCGAGTACGAGAAAATTTCTGCTGATGCAGCACTATGAGAAATGAAGATAACTGTGACTCATGTAAATCTGTGGACTCAGCTTTGTTCCAAACAGACGAGTTATTCCAGAATATGGGAACAAGAAGCGAATGCAATGGTTTAAGAATGGAAGAAAGTGGGAACTAAGGATCTCTAAGCCTTTTGGAAATGGAAAGAAGATGATTGGCCAGAAAGCCATATCAGTATACTGCGTAAAAATTCTCTTACGCATAGAACTATTTTTTGGATTTGCAAAAATTTATCTCAGTGAGAAAACCGGAATATATCAAGCACGTACCAGCATATGGCTCGGAGCAACCCATTCAAAGCTTCGACTACGGCGTTAATACACGCAAATTTCGTCCGGCAATACTTCAGGGGAAGGTTGTGGGGGCTTACTAGCGTCCCTTTCATCATTGTCTAACGCCAGTGATCACAATTCACCATAAGCGATGGATACCACCTTTGCATCGTTCAGGAACCTATACATGATCGATGAAAACGATGTGCACGATAAATGCATAGAAAATAACGGACTTGCCATTCGGATAGCAGCGGTGAATCGCTCCAACACTATCTTGATGAGTGAATCGACAACAGGAAAAGAAAATAAAGATCCATTCGACACGAAGATGCAGCCAACGACATAAGCATACGACACGACATGAGCATAAGTTAGTATCTCCAGCAGCATAACTCCTACAAGATCGTGTCTCAGTAAAAAATGCGTGGATAATACTAACTTACCAAGATGTGGTATTTGTCAGCGACCGACAGGTATTGAGACAAATTCTTTTTCAGCATTTCGCGCGACAATGTTTATTCCTTCGAAATGGAGTATGGAGAAGCCAAATTTAGACCTAAATCGTTTTTAGAAAAACAAAATTGCCTACGCGAATATATCGAGTATCAGAACTCGCTTGCTGCATTGAAAAATCTCGAAAATTACTATCAAAAAATTAGAATCAAATAAATCGTTTAGAAACAAAACTCACGCATCAGGCATGACATGTGGATATTCCGTTCTATTATATGTGAGCAAGTTTACGGGGCATGTCAGTTTCTGGTCCTACAAAAGATGAAAAAAAATTTTCAACAATGATTGCGATCTCTGCTTAGTCATTGCACGCATATAATACGCCATTGATAAATGGCGTATTCCTTCAAAGAATGTTTGTACTTACCGTTCGCTGCGAATGGTGATCCAGTCGCTTCGTCCCATTCACACGTGATCGCACGCTTCGTTCGTGCCTAGAATCAAAGGAACTTTAACTGAAACAGATACAGTAGAACAGCTACCTTGTCAGTGGCAACATCATCGGTTGCTGTGATGATAGCGGTGTAACTGTCTCCAAGCCCAGACAGAACATTTTCAGGCGATGATTGCATGCTAGTCCACTCTTCGCCAGGGACGACGTAAGTAGCATTGCCTTTCGTGAATTCTTAAGCAGATGTGTACTTCACTACGTTGAGAACCTTACATAAAAATATGACTAAGAGATTACTCCAAAAAGAAAGCCTCACAAGAACAAAGTCCTTAAAATATCGGCTGACGTGCTATTTGTTTGCCTTTGCGGTAGCTGGTAGTCCTGTTCAGATCGGGAAGCACGCGCATACTCAGCCTTGTAGACTGGATATGCGCGTGCTTCCCGAGATAGCTGTCCTGAAAGCAGGAGATTCAAAATAAAAGCTTTCCGAATGTGTGAAATTTTAATCACTATATACCTAAGAAAACTGGGTAACTTCAAATGAAGAAACCGGATCAATAAAGAGGTTATGAACAAATAAGTAGTCCAACCAAAACTAAGTTCATCAACTATATTGTCCAAGTCGAAAAAATCGTGTGATTGAGAGTAACTGGCTATGCTATGAATGTGCGAGTTCACAGAAAACGGAAGACACAAGAGCTCACCCAAAGTGATGAGCATTTACTAGAAAATGACGAGCAAGATTAGAAAAGGAGCGTAGTGAATGGCAGCTATTGATCGGGAAGACCTGCGATTTGAATTGCGCGCAGTCCGCGCTAAAACGCAGAATTACCGTTTGGAGACATTACGCAACACTTCGTCCATCCGCATTGAGAAATTTTCGCGCGTTACTTGCGCGGGGAAGCGGCCGCCGCGCGCGGTGTGACTCCTGACCCGGAGCCGACCTAGAACAGGCGCAGCTGGTGGCCACGCCCTGTCCGAGTTTCCCGGTGTTAGGATGCTCTGGATATTTGGATTGGGGCGCCTTTGAATACATCGCGCATGGCTCCCTCAATCTCTGACTTCGTCGTTTCTTCTCATGTGGTTATTTTTAACGTGTTTGTATCGTGTATGTATATCACTGCTCATTGGGTAATGTAATGATTTGCTTTCTTTTGTATTATATTTGCTTATCTGCGAGCATATGCTCTTCAAAATTGCCTTCTGTGAAAATTTTTGTTTCAGGTGCAGCATTATGTATAGTGCAATAAAATATCATCCCAGTAAGGAGGTTAGTAGATATCTGCTTCTTGAGTGATGTGATACTTTTGTAATTTTTATATTAGGTAGTAGTTAATTATACCATTATTTTATGTGCTAATTAGTTCTTGTGCAGACCTCGTCCAAATTGATGATGTCGAACAGATAGAATGTGAATAGAATTCCACTCAACAACAGTACAGCCAGTTATATCAAGTACAGGTGAGCTATCATTCTTTTGCATCTTTTTTACAGTGCGACTTTTCTTCAGGCTGAACATAGAAGAAGATTCGGAGCACTTCGAGCAAGGACGCATTCTGCGGTGGGATCTCGATTTTGAGCTTATTCGAGCACTTCTTTTTGATTTCAGCTATCGCTTGCAGTAGTGCACTGCAATATGTAAATGATAATAACCATTCTTTTTTCCTCATTGTTAGCATTGCTGCCTTTTTCTACGTTGAGAATAAAGGATTACCGTTCAAACTGTAGGACAGAACAACGCAGAGAAGCATGAGAAAGGTGTTTGAAGAGTTGGTATTATTTTATAAACAGACAAGATAAATCAATATTATTATACTACAAAAAGAGTTTGTATTTCTTCCACCGAAAGGGAGCTGATTTGCAAAAGTATGATCGTTTTGATTTATCTTGTCTGTTTGTCTTGATTACGGTTCATGACAAGTTCAGTCGTTGCGATGTATGATCTATGAATCTGAATGCGACAAATCGACTTCCGTGTATTAAAGGAATGAAGATTTGTGAATCAAAGGAATGAAGATCACGGAAGAACTGCACTCCTACATCAAAAGAATGCGCTTTCGAAGAAATTGATCTGCTTATAACCTCTTTTGGATGGTGAATTGCGATCATGCTCTCTCATTTGTTCCAAACCTATAATAACGTGTTTCGTAGGTCTGTAATTCTTGATCTTTTTAATCTTGAACTGAGGAAACCAAATGTTGCACTACCAAACTTATGGACAAGTATCAACAAGGAGGTAAACAGGTTTCAAGTGACACATTTACTCCGTATACTGCTTAGCCCATATTTGACCAGTAGTTTGACTTAGGCAACAAGTAAATCAATAGGAACTCCGAAGAATGCTGCTACCATTAGTGCGCCAGCGCGTGTGCCAAAAGAGCGTCAGTCCCTAATCTGATTGACCTCGCGCTCGGTGTCACAGGCGCCCTTGAGGGGCGTGGCCTCCATGCGCTCGCTCCAACTGGGTTTTGTCGCCTTCCGGACTACACCCCTAAGTTCGCAATACAGCAATTTGCGAATTCAAATGTCAGCATGAGAATGATTAAGATATCTTAAACAGCCTCATGCACTTATATATTGTCTGTCTTCCAGAATCGTTCCTATAGGTACCATTCAGTTCGATGCCTTTCGCTCTTTTTAACAAGTTAATTCTGGCAGATGCAAAGCATTTTCTCCAGAATGTGTAAAAACGACCGAAAGGCAGCGAGAGCTGATGTGATAATTACTTATGGGAACATTTCTAGGGGCATACCATATCATCCTTTCCTTGGATAGCGAAATCGAGAACGTCACGTAGAAGTCTGACAAGTTTGCGCTTGTTATTCCCCTCATTTCAACTAGTCAAACGTCCAAGATGAGGTGAAGCACATGTTTCAACTCGTTAAACGCACATGTGCACGGCTTTCTCGAGTCCCGACAATGAATGATGAAGCGTGAGACCCACATTCATTTGGCAAAATGGGAGGAAACTCATCCAAAGTCGTAGCATCGCTTTCCCACCCAAATTAATCGTACAGGCCTAGCTGAGCGGTATGTCACCTCTGTGAGTATAGAACAAGTACACATCACCCAAACATTTTCGACTTGAATTTGGAATGTCCTTGACGTTCGGGAACTCCGCACTTGGAATTGTGGATCGGTGGGGGCGCGACGAGTGCGTTGCCGTCGTTGCGAATGGTCTTTTCACAATATCGATCAGCAATGGTCGTTCGTTCACCTCCACCCTATGATTACTCTGTTTTCCTCCAAATGTGGACTCAGCCTCGCTCCATGAAGCCCACAACCCTCAACATATGATAAGTTATTGTTCACATGCCCCTCGAATTCCTGATGTTTTTTGGAGTAGCCGGCTGCAAAAGAAAAAATAAAACGTAGCGATACACTACTCATGGCTCCTTGAAAAACAACTGCAGGCAATCAAGTGACTGTTTTCCCTTTCGCTTCCCTCACATCCCTAATTAAACATCGTACCAGACACACCGCAAGCAGTTGAGAGGCACAGCCTGCTTTTCCACTTTGATCATCTTCTATTTATGGTATTCTTCTTGTATGCTCCATTCATATTTTCCAAATAGAAAATGCACACATCCTTTTGGATTTATATCCCATGTATGTTTTCCTGGGCTCCGCAGATCCTTTATCGAGATAAACACGACTAACAACGGCTTCTTTACTACTGCTGTTCAGCACTTTTACTCCCTTCATTTGATCTGAGGAGTAAACAGTTGAGCTGGTGTCTGTTGAGAACTTCATAGTTTTTAACTGTATTTGATTTAGTAAAAGTGCATCAGAATTTTACATATCTAAACCGTATTTTTGTTTTTGAAATAATCTTTTAGCGCTGTTTCTTTCAATAAAGCATATCTAGGATGTGATTTCTCGTAGAGTTATTGTGCGATTAGCCTTTGATTTCTGATTCCAGATCATTTTTGATTTGCGCCTATTGCTCCATAGGAAATTTCGATCCCGCGATTTTTCGATCGATCTGTAGTGTGTTTTCAACTCTCATCAGGTCGAAAAATAGTATGAATGATTGTTGTACGGAGATCAGAGCACCTTATCAGTTTCGTCGATCCTGTATGAAGTTATGCTTTTTGAAGCAGCAAATTTTATTCAATCACAAAATCTCTGAATTTTGTTAAAATAGTGGTAACCTACTGCGTTTTCAATGACATAGATGACTAACATAAGGAGAATAAATGTTGTTATAGTGCATGTAAGAAGAGTAAAAAATAGTTAATTTGCTATGAAACATTTTGGGAAAGGCTAGCTGTTAAGCTTTTCTTCCAAGACATGTACCTCCATGGTCTTTTCTCTACTGTGCAATCTACTAACAACAATTCAGCAAATGAAAGCGAATTTTTTCAAACCATGTATAGTATGTCTGATTATGTCCATTTTGGCTTGGAAATTATTAGGTTGATGCACGATTCTTGCTCCAAAAAATGGAAAAAATTGCTCTAAAAATGCTTAAACAGACTAATTATCTACTGAATAGGCTCTTTGTTATGTAAAAAGTTTTCTACATTTAAAAAATGATTATTAGACAAAATCGATAAATTAAAAAAAATAGAAATTCATAACTTTTAGCAGAAACATCCACTCACTACCAATTTCTCTTAGTCAAAAAGAGTATGTCATACAGGACCAAAAATAAATCTAAAGTTCAGTAAACGTTTCAGCAGTTTTAGTGACCAAAAATCAAAAATATTTTCGGGTGTTTTTCTTGATCGGCTTAGATCGTTGCCATTTGACTCGAGCACCCTGAGAAAGTGCAGGATTTTTTCTCTCCTATATATCAAATCTGAAGATTTTATTGAAGCTGGATGAAGCAACAGAATTTTCAAAAATTATGGTGCATCAGGGCCATTTTTATATACACAACAGTATTTGGTTGTCAAACATGAACGCCGTCTAGATTCATGGCTGTTATAGGCTTACGTTTTCACGATATATACATGCCAGGAAAAATGCGAATTGTCAATCACACGAGTCCGCCGGCTCAGATGGCAAATATAAATTATGTTTTTCCCTACTTGTTCGTCTTCTCATCTCAGTAATGGAGGCAATAAATTGTCTGAGCAGTTTTTCTATCCTATATGGCTTTCTTTAGATATTGGTGTAGTATATGGCGTTTTTGTGAGCTTGAGTTAGCGTTAGGCTTTGAGCTTGATGTGAAGTTCTGAACCAGGCGATCTGCAGAGTGTAAAAGGTTTAGATTGCTTTCGGAGAATATGTTCAAGATGTTGTATGTTCAGCTGATCTGAGCAACATCTGTGACAGGGAGTGTAAAGTTCTGGAATAAAATCGATTTGCTCAATTGCAAAATCGCCTCCTGAATAACACCCATAAAGTTTCTGAAGAGAAATGAGGGCTCCTTACTGTATCTTTTGTGGCAATTAAATAGTGTCTGGAATAAAAATTCCACTTCCTTTCACTTTTTTTCATTTTCAGTTTCTTTGTCTTCTTCTATCTTTCGCCTATCCTTCTTTTGGGCTTTCAAGATTTTTGAATGAATCTGGTTGGGTCTTTAAAGCTGAAAAACTCGATGTAAGGTCAATTATAAAATCGTGACGACGGATTTGACCGTGGTCTTTGCGCGCAGAGGAGCATAGCATCCTCATACAAAAAGGCATCACCTCATCGCTCAGCTCAGTCACTGCCAGTGTCCAAATACTGTAATACCTAAGCAGACAAACCAGACGACTAGAGATTAAAGCCAAGAAAATGCGGTTACAGAAATATGCATGCGTGTCGCGCGCGGTGGCGCCGTCGTCACGATTTTTCGAATGCCCTATAGCTTTCGCTTGCTTCGCAGCACATTTCGCGATCTTCATCTAGAATTTACCTCAAATTTGTGAACTTCTATCGAAGAAAACACTTTCTACCATATTTGCGTCATAGCTTAGCCTGGTCTCTGTATTGTTTCATGATCTTTTCGAGGTTACCAAATTGCGCATTCATGACCAAAATAATGAGTTCACGCAAAATTTGCAGAATGACCTTGATGTGAGTGCATCATTGCCCTCACAGCTCCCTCACAACAATGTCGACGCAAGATTATACGAGTGTTCCTAGTGATGTACATATGACTACAAATGAAGGCACCGGCGATAGATGGGATGACACTGGGCCGATCATTGGCGAACTACGGGAAAGGTTTGTTAAATTAGAGGTCTTAAATCTTCCAAAATGAATTCAAAAATTCGTTGGTTAAAAGCTAAAGGTACTTGGTGTATGTGATAAGCATGCACATTTTCATATAAATCGTACAGTTGTGTAAATTGCAAAATTTTATATCCAGCAAAGTTTGGTTTATTTTACTCTCATTTTCCAAGTCCCTTAGTTTTTTAGGACCGCCATTGCAATAAAACTACGTGATGTTTTTATTGACAATAACTTACGACCAAGTCAACGAATATTTTGTATAGGTGAGTTTTTTCTCAAGCATTGAAATTGTTCTTTAACACTCTGTAGTGTATACTACCGTCAGTCCTTGTAAATATTAGCAGAAGTAACATCAAGTGATCTTGCAAATGCTGAGAATTGTTTCACTTTCAGTCTAAAGTTCAAGATCTTAGTGAGGGAAGGGTCCCAGATTGCCGATTACGTTAACTTATCAAAAATCCAACTAATTGTTTTTATCTTTGCGGACTTATTTTTTCTGCTCGCTGTTTGAATAAGCGCAGCTAGGTTGATTTTAATTTTATTAGGAAGATAAATGATTCTTGAATCGAACTTCATCAGATAGCTCATATCTCAATAAAAAAAGATTTTATAGCGAATTCCATGTTTCATTCCAAACAGTCACTTATTCAGATTTGCGAATTTCGAAGGACATTTGAGTTGTTTGGTTGAAAATAATCAGTCATAAATTGGGCATGTTTATTTCACCTTGACTTCATTCACCAAAAATCGGTTTTTATATGAAACTAGTTGTCTTACTCGGTGAATACCCATTCCAAACATAATCATGTCCCGATCATAGTCCATTACATCCTATCACATTTTATATTCATGATAAGTTTTTTTTAACAAATCGATTCATTACAGGCACATCTGTCATATTGTGCAGTATCTTGTTCATAATATTTATATATTTGTTACTTGGATTTAATCAAGTGATGCATGATATTACCGTACAAGAACAACAACAAAATCAAGGTGACTTTTAAGTATTTACATGGAATTGTATTTTCAGGTTTGTTTCAAAGGTAGGTTTTTTAGGACTGCATATGATCCCTGATCTTGGCACTAATATCAGCAATAGTATCTTGAATCTCATCGGAGATAATGTGGCGAAGGGACGATACATCGAGATTATTCGTGATTATCTGGAAGGTACGTTTATTTCAATGTTTCTTTATCGCTAATGCGGATAAAGATGGGAGGGGGGGGGGGGGGGGGGGGGAGGGAGGGAGGGAGGGGAAGAGAGCAGGGATCGAGAAATAGTTTATAGCAGGGTCAAGCAAGGGGTGTGGCACACGATCGCTGGTTACGACCCTCCCCCCCCCCCCCCCCTGATTGCTGTCTTAATAAGATCCCCCACCCCCTGATATACCTAAGATAGCATTACCAGAGTTGCGAAAGAGGTCAGGCACAAGTCTTTCGACCCCCCCCCCCCCATGAAAGCCCTCAAACGACCCCTTCTTCCTCTTCTTAACCTCTGGACCTCGAAGTGTGACATTCTGGAGAACACCATCTTTTTCTAGAGAGTTTTCAGATTTCTGGGAGCTGTACGCCCGATTTTCTGTGACTGCACTTTACAATCACACGTAATTTGACGGCTGATTTTGATCTGAATGGGCATATTGAAAGGGCCATAATTTTCTTATGGGTGGGGCGTTCAGCTCCAAATTTCCAATGTAGCAAGAAGAAGCTGTGTGCCCAATACTCATCCAGCAATGGAGCGCTTTCTGGATTTTGAAGGCAAGTTAAGGGGGTGCGGCCCACCCCCTAAAAAGCTGCGGCAGCCGCCTTTTAAGGGGGTGTGCCGCACCCCATTAACTATATCAAAAAAAAACATTTTTAGCGGACAGTATTTATATGAATCGATAGCCTAAACCTTGCAGATTCCATAGGACTGTTTGGAGCCTGATTTGTCTTCTTAGCTCTGAGTAATATTTGGTGAAAGCACAGCGATCAAAAGCGAAAAATGGGAAAAACGAGATTTTGGTTGGCTTCTAATTCCACAGTTTGCAGGTCTTCTGAAGCGGGATTCCTGAGGTGGACAAAGAAGGAGTAACGCTTTGTCTTGAGTGCAAAAACGGATAGCTAGTTCACCTTTGAAACAAAGTTAACCATGTTGGAATTTGACCATTTCATTTAGGTAGCCTAGTATCTTGAATCTTCAGAATTCGCTCACACTTTGTCTACAGGGGTTAAATGCTAATTATGGATATGATACGAATATCATGTTATCACTATTATCAGATTACCCAACTACGACCCCCTCCCCTTTTGACCCCTCAATACGACCCCCCAGGTGTGGCGTGCCGCACCCCACGCTTGACCCTGGTTTATAGAGCACTTTATTTTGCAGTAATGTGATGTACGAAATATATACCATATTTATCGCTAAAGCTGTAATTACTTCAGCTGCTGGTCTCTTACTTATCTCAAAAAAAAAACCGCAAATTTTCACCTGTATCTGTTCCATCAAAGTTCTCGCATCTCTCTTCGAATTGATTTTTTTGCCAAATTGGTGCTTTCGAATAATCTTCTTCAAACGCTCTAGAACAAAGGAATGAGAGGAAGAGTAAAATAAAAGGGCAAAAACAGGCGTGGTTTTGCTTAACCAATATTTCGACCACAATATCGGTCAGAACCGCTGCATATTCCACTTTGATATTGCTTGGGCATTTATGTTTGTGTTTAGCTTACAAAAAAGAGCAGCTGTCACGAAAGAACTTCACGAAGGAGTGCAGTCCATTGGAAAAGGTAAACATATTCAAGATTGCCTCCTTTTTCGATAACAAAGCGAAGCATTTCACCTTGCACGAGTGAAAACCATTTCAGCCTCCACATGCTTGGTGCCACTTCCCTTTGAAAATTTTTGAGGAAGCTGGATGTACTGAAAACAATCGGTATGGGTACGACAGCGGAGAACCATGCCTGCTGTTCGAATTGAGATTGGTTGGTTGTTGTTATCTCTTGTGTTTTCTAAACGTTCGTTTATCATAATCGAGAGTAGAGCTAATAATTAGCTTAATTAGTTCAAAGGATAGGAGAGTAAAAGCTTACCACTTCAAGTCTTTATAAGGGCCCAAGTGAGGGCAATTGTTTGCTTTCATATTTTCTTTTTTTTGCAGAAAAGCCCTGCAGAGTGCGAAATGTTACCAAAGTTGCGAATTTATCAAAAATTGAGAATCAAGTTTAGGAGACCAGTTGGACCCCGAAATTTCAGACCTACGAACACAGACCAAACGTCACCGATCTGCTACTTAGTTGCAACGTGGTAAATCTCACTTATTGGAATGAGTCTGTTTTTTCTTCACTTTGGCCCCTATTCCAGTATGATTTTCCGAAGAGGGAAGAGAGTACGAATGTGAAGTATATCCCAGAATTTATTGGTAGTCATACATGTGGGGCGTTTCCACTCAATAAGGTAATTTTATCATCATTACAATTCCGAAAATTTTTCCGAAGCTGTGTACTTTGTAGATTCCTTCAAGAGCAATCTCTGATACCACAGGAAGGGATGTAGCTGATGAAAATGGCGAAACATTATATGATCAGCCACCATTGGTGAGTTTATAACTTAGTCTTTGCCAGAAATCATGATGATTTGGTGATATATCCTACTTTCTGCTGCTGTATTATCTATTTTCATTCATCGTTATTTTTCATCATGTACGATTTAGGTAATGGTGAAGCTACGGCTTTCCAAGAGTATTCACACCACAGTTCGCTGCTATGTTGAAAAGAGATCTGCACAATACGCTGATGTTTCGAATATTGCCGAAATGCCAGGAAATCGTTTTGTTCAGTTTGATATCCTGTATCGTATGTAGAATAAACTTTGTTTGTGAAGCCGAGGGGAAGCATAGGAAGAATGTAATGCACAATCTTTGCGAAGACTCGGAGAGAACTCGTCTCAGTACTTCGATAAACAAAAGCAAGCTTTCACAATCTGAAAAATGAGAGATAAAGTAAGAAAGCTGTTGAACTCTTGTAAAAATAGTAAAAAGTGTTTCACCTTCATCATTTACATTTTTTTTTGCTTCACGAGCGCCACTTAATCATATTTTTGTGAGCAGCCGTAGCGTTGCCATAGATGTCCTTTGTTTGATTGTTTGAAAAGAATATCCTCTTTACGCTAGGTACTCTTCTGAGCTATACTAAGTTTCTACTTTTCGTCCAATTTTGAGTAACGATGTCGCGCAATAATGGAATTTTTTAAGGTGAGGGACTTTCATATCGACTGAATAGTTCCGTCGATAGGGCCTCTGTGAATAAGGTTTACATGAAAGTAATGCTAGACGTGCTTGTTTTTCTTCTAGTCTTTGTGAGAGTTGTGATTTGTATTAAACCCCTCCCCTCCCCCTTCCCTCCAATTTTAGTCGTCTCCATAATGCCATCGCTAATGAGATAGGCGATAAATGTTCAGAAGTCCCGTTCGGACGTACCCAGCTGCACGGTATTCGTCAACTTCGCAAGAAAGACTTCGCATTGCTATTTTTTTTTGACAAAGAAGGCACTATCTGCCGAAGTGGCTTTTCCAAATGGAACTCATATAGATTGTAGAGCTTTAGACGCCGATTCCAAAGCTTCTTCTATATCTGCTGTGCCCCTCTGGATCCTGAGTAACAAACGTTTTTAAGTCGAAAACGGGTAACTAAGGCAATGTCATTCAAAACTGCTGAGATGGGCCAGTATTGGGTATCAGGGTATATACTCCTGCAGTGAGTACTTTTTTAAGCAGTATAATCACAGATGGAGTTCATATAGATTGTAGAGCATTAACTCTAATTCCAAAGCTTTTCCTATATCTGCTGTGCCCCTCGGACCCTGAGTAGTGAACGTTTTTGAATCGAAACTGGACGCGTAACTTACCAGCTGGCACCGAGTCAAGCTAGATATTGTTTATGGAATAAAAAGCAAGAGGTATCGTTTTCGTGATCGGAAAGAGGCAAAAACTGCGAGTTTTCTAGTCGACGTTTCTTTTTTTGGGGTTTTTTACGATTAGGATTTAGTCAAAGGGGACTTCATACAAAAATTTCAGATCAAAGGGGACTTCGTCTTTGAATTTCCCTACTGCCAGCTCATGCTAGTTCGTCCGGAGCCCTGTTTCCCATTGCTTTGTGTGAGCCCTGGAGGAACGTAAAAACTACTCATCTTTCGATCCAAAAAAACTCATAACTCGTTGAGATACCAAGGACAGATTTGGAATCAGCGTCCGACTCTCTACGAAATGATATAAAGCTTGATAAAAGGGAATTCTACTAAAGAAGTATTTCTTGGATAAGTAGAGTTAATTCAGCGCAACTTATCTCAAACCGTACGTGAATGCTGGCAATATAAAAAAATTACTTTGAAAGAGCTTTTTGAGCTGTTGCTGGTTAACAAAGGCCACAAATTTATCGAACCGTTCCCAACAAAACTGACCGTTCCCAACCGTTCCCAACATTGTTTGGTTTACAAAAGGAACCGGTACGGAAGCCCTAGTGCGGGAGAAAAGCTGCTTCAAACAACTTAAAGGGTCTGACTATCTTTATTCACGTCTTTTCATAATAAGTCGAAAGGGGACAAACTTTCCTAACGATCCAAAACTCACACACGGGAAGCAGAAACAACAGCAAAGAACACAGCTCAAAAATCTCCAAAAAGCACTACAAAGCTTCATAAATGACTTTGGGTTCACTTCAAGAGTTGAGACATAAGGGAATCAATGAAGCATGATACAATTAAGAGAGGTAGCATCGAAAATCTGGCAGACAAATTACCACTGATCCCATTTTTCACACAAAGTATGCCAATAGTAGTGCGCAATCGAAAAAGGTGATTTTTGCTTGGCATGAAGACCGTAAGGGCCAGGCATACTTCACGCGATTTCAGTCACGACGCGATTCGGCAGTTCGCCAGAAGTCGTCATATCCAACACTAACAGACCGCACATGCATACTATGTATAACTTACGTGGATTGAAAATTGCCCTGTCTTCTGTACATTTAAAATTTGCTTACCGTGAGTTATGGACAGTCGGAATATCGCCAAATCGCGTCGCGACTGAAATCGCATGAAGTATGCCCAGCCCTTTAGAAATATGAGTTGTGAGATCTACATTTCCAGCTTTGTCAAATTCCCTACTGACTGATATTTTTTATTCGTTTCAGTTTGTTCTGAGTTAAGAAGATCAGAAGGAGCAGAGAAACTTGATAAAATGTCACTCTAAATGAGTTAGTAGTGTTGTAGAATTTAGACGTAATATCGTGTGAAAATGAGACAAAACTACCAATTGAATTCTTAGAGGTGATATTTGGCTGTTCAGAGATCTATTAGGTGCTAAATAAGGATATTCTTCAGATTCTATTGATTACGAAAATTCTGCCATGAATCAGTTGATGACACAGCTGTCCGAATAAGTCAACAAATTACGCTATCGTCAATTACTACAAGTATTGAAATCCTTTGCTCCCTAGTGTTCAATCAAGCAGTAGAAGAATCACTGCACAAGAGTGGCTGGCTTCTCCTGCATCTCATCATGTTGTTAGTATTGAAAATTAGAAGTCTGCAAGACTTTGTTCTCTTATTATTCTGTGAAACAGTTTCCCGATATAACGTCATTCATATCGTTGCTTTTATTTTCCGCCTGTAATAAATGGATTAAAAGTTAGAAAAATCAACTCCATTTGAATCTCGTGGTATTCAATAATATGAAATGATCAATTCGCTCCTGTTCACGACAGCAAAGTGCATAAAGTTGTACTGAATCGCAAATTCGATAGCAATCTAGCCCGGATCCATGAGATCTCACATCGATATCTAAATAGAAATCTTCCATTCGTAGACAATGTTACATACATCCCGTAATGAACTTGCATAACATTTTTGCTTCTCCTTTCATACTATTGAACGCTTTTTTTGTTATTGTGTAATGCTAAAGAAGTAATACTGGAGCCGCTTTGTTAGCTTCATTTGAAAGCATCCTGCTGTTACAAGCAAGATATTGTACTAGAAGTTTACCTTTATCATAAGCTTCCTTGCGCTTAGATCATCTCTTTTTAGAAAACTCTAGAAACTTCGGCAAAGTCTCGGTTTTGGCGTGTGTGAGGAAGAAACAAACGACAATGACATCGTTTTCATTCTCATGCACATAAGTCACAGTGAATTTGAAAGCATTTTTTAACAGAGCTTCAGGATATATTTTTTTTTATCTTCAAGGATTTCTCACTACTTTTTCTCTAAATATCTAGATCGTAGATTCCAAGAGCATCAGCATTGATACAAGCACTGAAAGGTTGTCTTCGTTAGAGAAATTTGCCAAAATAGATCAAAAACGTTTTCAAAATTGGAATACTGGAATTCGAATGCTTGACACTCGTATATTGAAAGTTACAACTTTTTACATTAGTCGAAAATGAGAAAGAATCTGTGAAAAGCGTTGCGAAGATTTTCCAAGTGCAGCAATACCTCATGTTATGACGTAATAATTTGCGGTAGCTCTATCAAGATTTTTTCTTAATAGTGCAACTATTCCACATCTTGTCTTTGCTAGAGTCAATTTCGGCTGTCACAAGTTATTGCTCTGACTCTTGTGGTACTATGGCAACTCTCGTCCGCTCTTTGAAACTTCCAGCTGATTGTCTTATGTGTGGTTTAATCATCGAAAGCGCAGAGATCAGTTGCAAGCCTTATCAGTATTTGCTCAAGCATAGCTCGTAGCAATCTCTGTCTAAAATGGTCATTTGATGTTGCTTTTCCTCAGTGCAAATGTAAGTTAAGTTTTGCTTTAGGAAACAATATGCATTTCTCGTGCCTTTCAACTGACTCATAAACAAAAGCTTTCAATGTCGGCGTCTTTGTGCTTAAAGGGGAAATGAGCCACATGCCAGATATTAGGTCATTCCGAAAGTAATTTCGCTTTTTTCAAACGGGAGCCACATCTGATGGAACAAAGGTTTCTAAGACATCTTGGTAGCATTCGAAACAGCATTTCATTCTCTTTCTAATGGTTGTGAAATTTTTGCAAAGCAGTTAATGAGCTTTCAGAAAATAACCAAAATCTACGACCTATGCTTTTTGAGATAGTCAAGTTTCACAATTTTTTAAAAGTTTCATATCAATTCTCAGAAGAAGTTCAAGTGACGGTCCGATAGAGCAAACCTCATAGAATACAGCGCAACTTTTTCCTCTTTTCCATAGCTTGTCATACATTTTTAAAGAATTTTAACTGATGCTACCGATTTCCATACTTGGACAGCTAAATCCTAGTAGAACATCAAACCTTGAGCAGCTCGGATATCATTCGATGCAGCTTTTTCTCCTCTTTCTAATGGGTGTTTTTTGTTTCCGATTCGTTTAGTTTTCGGGGTCATTTTTTAGGGAGCCCCAGGCTGTACCCGAAAAACTCGAAATTTGATGTTTCGATCCCGTAAACCCTCACTTGCTTTGTAAAATTAATGCTAACTCATAGTACATCTTGGTAGTCTCAAATTCCGAAAAATTATGATGTTTGATGCGATTGTGGTTGAAGTGGGCCTGCCAAAATTCGATGGTTCTGCTAAAAAATCTTTTAAAAAATTACGGCGAGCTAGGAGAAAGGGAAAGAAGTAGCACTGTATTCTATGAGCTTTACTCTATCGAATCGTTACTTGGACTCCTTTTGAGGATTGATATGAGAGGTTTAAAAAATCGTGAAACTTGATCATCTCAAAAAGCATGGGTCGCAGATTTTGGTTATTTTCTGAAAGCTTATTGAATGTTTTGCAGCATTTTCATAATTATTAGAAGGAGAATGAAATGCTGTTTCGAATGCTACCAAGATCTCTTGGAAACCTTTGTTCCATCAGATGTGGCGCCCGTTTGAAAAAAGCGAAATTACTTTCGGAATGACCTAATATATCGTTTTCTAAAATTTCGATCAGACTCATGTAATAGCTTCAGATAAAAATATCTGGTCAGCAACATCTGTGTAGATTTTTGCGGTACATATAAGGCCAAACTTGAACTGAAAGGGGGGGGGGTGCTTTTGGAAGGTACTTACTTGGATAAAAATGTGGCGACTTGTTTATTTTTAAATAATTGAAATGATAATCAAAAATTTTTAGGAACAAAAAACAGCATTGTGAAATTTTATTATCGGGGCGTGGATGCTCATCTCAAAAACTTTTGTCGCCCCGCTCCTGAACGGAACTTGGGTACGCCACCGATTCATTATATTCTCGGTTTAGCATATACAACATTATATTGGGTCGGTTCGAAAGTTTGTGCCGTTTTTCGTACCCATGCTCAAACCACTCAGAATAACCATAGACAAACGCCCCAAACAGCGTTCAATGCAGAAACTCTTCCTCTTCCTAGCAGTTATGTTTTTGCCCAGAGATCTTTCACGTACTTTAAGTAATCGTCGGAACCTCCAACCCATAATTTTTACCGGGGGGCAGGCGTTTTGGAGCAAAGCAGCGCCGCATTCCCCTGCGGCATATCCTGAAGGCCAGTTGCGTTACGTCGCCTTTAATAGCAGCCGCAGGAGTACGCCGCTCCTAACAACGAACTGAGCCATTCCCTGTTGTTACGTTTTGAGAAGATGTCCAAACTGCATGAATGCAATAAATGTATTTAAAATCGAAAAATAGATGGATTTTACGGATGCAAAGGCTGAATCTCGGACGAGAAGACTGATTTCAAGTGTAACATGAAAATTAGTAGAGAAAAGGGGGAGAAAATTTTCGTTACTGACTCTCCAAGCTTTCACTTTCTCTTGGGTGGTACTTTCAAACACTTCTTCCTCAGAATCTATTTTTTCATCATCAAAATTCGTTTAACTTTCGCATTTTGGTCTCTTTACAGAAGAAGAGAGGATGACTCATCCGCTAGGTAACGCTAGCTCCTTTGCGGGTGCAATTAGGAGCGACATAACGTAAAGGGCCCTCAGGATATACCGCAGGCGAATTCGGCGTAGCTTTGCTCCATAACGCTACGCCGCCGTTTTTACCCACCCTGTGTTTGGCTATATTGAAATTTCCGTCTAACTTTTAGACTAGCTTTGATAACAGTTGGATAAAATAAACAAGATGCAATGCAAAGGATTTTTTTTGGCATTTCGAGCAGGCTTTTCTGAATTCTGGAAAATATTTTTCCAGTGCTATCAAATTCTATGTCTGGGAGTCCCAATCCTCATAGAACCACATAGCGAGCAACCAGGTGTCATCAATGCAGCTTATTCTATTCTTTCGGACAATTTCTTTTTTGCTTTTAGATGTGTCCCAGGCCGTTCCTAAATAAGAAATTCGAAATTTCGAACCGCTTAATTCTTAATGCTTGCACGTTAAGTCATAAGCTATATTTGGAAGCCTCAAATATCGAAGGCTTATTAGTGTTTGATGCGGTTGAACATTTCACAACTTCACAAAAGTTAAGGTTTTTGGAAAATTTATTTTAAGAAATACAGGGAAGTTAGTTGAGGAGAACAAAATACTTCATTGTATTGCATTTTTTTTATTCTATTCAACTGTTACCAAAGCTAGTCTAAAAGTTAGATGCGGAAATTTTAAAAATAGCCAAATTCAAGATGTGTAGAAACCATGGGTTGATATGGATTATATGAGCTCAACGCTTGAGCTTTGTTCAAAGACGTTACTACTAAAAAGAGGAAGAAATTCTGCATCGAACACTGTTTAGAGCGTTTGCCTATCGTTATATCGAGTGGTTTTGAGCATAGGTCTGAAAAACGGCACGTTGTTTTGGACTGATCCAATATGTGTATTTTTACTACAGTTATAATGAAAGCTAATGAACTCTCTTGCATGAAAAATTGGTATGTTATTTTTACCATTGATTTCGCTTTTTACAACAGCCCTTTCAACGATATATGTATACAAACGGATAATTGATTTGACATCCTGCTTAAGACTTGGATCAGCTTGTTTTCGAAATTTAGCTTTCGCGTTTTCAAGTTATTTGTTCTCATTGTATTGACAATAAGCTTTGCACTCCAGCTATTGAATACGTGGCGTCAAATAAATTTTGCAATGTTGTCAGACAAACATTGCTCCATTTGGCTTCCTCTGAGTTTAGTCATACAATTAATTTCCATAGATCATACGTGAATCATTCACATTAATTGTTCGCACAGGGTTTCGCCCTGCTGTATGCCCTTATCTATCAGTTTGATTACCGCGAAATTCTTGAGCTGTCTAGAACTTTTACACAATATCCAACACTTGTTCATATTGCTAAACTAAGATTCACTGATAATCGTTTGATAATTCAATTTTGTCCAGGAGCAAGAAAATGGAAAGACTGGAGAAATTCTCTCGTCGCAGCAGAATCAAGCCACAACACTTGGTGACCATAGGATGTCTCTCCATGGTACTAGCTTATATGGTTTATCGCTCAAATAGGTTTGCTTTTTCCTCATAGTTGCTGAAAATGCTTCCACAACTTTAACGAAGTTTTGGAATTCACTTAAGTTCCGTATATATATCATTAAGGTGATTTGACTGTATTAGCAAATCGTTTAGCAATGATTTGAGTGGTTGAAAATTAGTGCTGATCTATGATCGAAATTATTTTGCGCCACTTACTCGCATTCACAAATCATCATACTGGAGATGTAAGCGCGAATATATTGTAGCTGTCTGTTCTTTCTCCTTTATGAAGTTCAGACTGACTTCAAATTAGTGTTTGCATGCTGTCGTGTCAGGACTAAGGCATACCTCATGCTATTTTAGTCGTTGCGCGATCTGGCACTGCAACAGCTCTTCATGCTTATTCGTAAACGCACTTTGGTTGGATCAGATTTGTTACTTTCGCGATAACTTACAAAGACTACGCGCCTATGCATTCAACACTAGCGCACGATTAATCTATAGACATCTGGCAAAACGCAAGTCGCGTGGATGTAGCGATTTTACGGAATGTGGAGAGTATGCCTTTGGCCTCAGAACCCACGCGAAACTGTTAGGTCTTGCTATGAAACCATAGAGCATGAGGCGAGTCGTCCGTTAATACGATAGTGGGGTAGTTTGAAGATTCAGCCGCGAGTGCACCATATAAGATGCCGCTTGAGCAGTATCTTACTCAGAGCCCCAAAATTACTCCCCACTCGAGACCCCCATGTGTCCAGATTTGCCTGGACGCCTTTAACATTCTGCTTAACATACCGAAAATGAATGCGCAGTTTATAAAGACTACGAAGTTTTGGATGTAGCAGCAACTTATTGCAAGACCTAAGCTTTCCAAATTCCGCTTTTTCCTTTCTTGCTATCACATTGTTAAGCAGCTGATTGAACGTAAGTTGTGTATCTGGAGATCAGTGAAGCATTTTCTTTTGAAATTACTTGAAAGAAGTTTCTTCATGCATATCAAAGTAAAGTGAAAATTTTTTTTTGGAAAAAGTAGCTAAAACGGGCAACGTGTATACACTATTGAAGTATACGGGCTTCCTTCAGGCACTTGACAGCGCGTTTTGGACAGTCACAAAGCTATCATATTGATGATTTATTCAATACGAAGCCATCATACCATCAGCAAAGAAGTGGGTTTTATTTTAGAAATTCAAATAGCAAGCATGTGTCATCATTCCAGGTGTTGCTGAGGACCAAATAGAGCAAGTTCTCGAGAAAACTACGGATGAGGACGCAGCAGATAATGGTGATAATTTCAGCAGTCACAGGCAGCAAGGCTAGTTGATCTGCGAAACATAAATCCGCCCTACTAGAGCATAGTGAGGTATAAGATATTTAGGGACCGAGCTTGATCTGGGTCAAATAACTACAGCAATAAACAATGATCAAAATCAAGGTAATAGCTCTACTATTGCTCTAGGGTGCATTGTACTCTGGATATTTCCAGAAGACCTTGAACGCCAAAATGGAAATGATATCGCGGCGATTCCTCCCTCAGCACGAGAACATTTGCAATTTGTTGAAGAAATCCCAAAAACTGTCAACATTACTCTCAACGTATCAAGTTCAAACTCTGTACCGTTGCCAAATCTGGAGACTATTCTGAGTATGACGACGGAGGAAGTGTCAAGTAGCAGTGTAGCTGAAATTGTCACTTCACCTACGGACGATATTGCTAATCCAGGCTACGTTAGAATCCCAGAGGAAACTTCTACGATTGTTGAGAGCACCTTGCAAGGAAGAGGTTTCGAGGAAAATCCTACTAAAAATATGAACATTACTGAGACGACGACTATAGTGAATCTAGAAGATAACTCTTTTTCTACAACTACCAGCAGCGGGAATAATCTCACAAAAAACATAAAGGACAGTAATAACCAAGCAACTAACGAAACTGAACTCTTTGCAAGCACAGCGAATCAAGTTAATAACCAAGAATTGACCACATCATATCAGCACATTGTGAACTTCGGTGAAATCAGCAGTCGTGACAATTATTCTCAACTCGAGAGGATAAACCCGTATGTAACGATGAAATTTTTGGATTCAACTACTGTCGAATCAGCAACAACTAATAATGGTAGCCTAGTTGAAGGGAGCGAATTAGCTGCAAATACAGAAACAGAGGCAGAAATGCAGAAGCAGCCAGATCTAGGAGCCATGATTGATGAAAATAAGAAAATTGGTGGAGATGCTGAGATACTGGATAGGCCACGAGAAGAGTTTGATATGGACAATATCAGCCAAGACATAATTTGAAGAAGTAACCTATTGTTAGCTTTTCTTTGCATGCATAATTTGTTAGATGCGGGGCTTTCTCATGCTGCCTTCGCCGATCCTTATCTGTGATACTTCAGACAGTTACTTAATTGCCTACGTTGTTGAGATTTATAAGATCTATTTATCTTTCACTCAATTTGTATAATGTGATAAAGTTTATGAGAGATAATGTTTATGAGCTATGTTCATATGTATCATGAGGCAGCGAACGCAACATCTTTTTCGGGGGGAGGGGGGAGGGGGGGGGGGGGAGAGAGAAGGGATCAGACATAAGTTCTCTAGATAGAAAGGCATGGCGATAGCAGTGCCTTTCCGAATATTTTCGGTCTGCCTTCGAACTTGCTTTCGCCAGTCTGCGATTCCGAGAAAAGTGAGGAGGCGAATGAAGGAAAAATCTTTATTGCAAACAGTTTTGATTTGTGTTCAGATTGTGATTGTTTGCAAGTTCAGTGGGCAGAAAATTTATCAAAACGACAATGAGTGCACATATCTGTGTGTGCCACAGGTTTGAACGTATAAACATATTTTCTATATATAATATAATGAAAAAGTAAGATAAACAGTTAGTTCGTCTGCTTGTAGGATAGCGTGGCACCAATCAGGGGAAAGTATGAGAGTCGCTAAAAAAGCTAAACATGTTGAGAGATTGTAGACGTATGTCTATTTTTGTCTTACTCGCGCCATATGGGACCTATTTGAGCTGGCGCTGAGCCAAACATACAGGGTGCGCCAAAATTATTTGCGCCAAGATGTTCAAAGTAATGCCACAACATTGGCGATGAAAAATTTGGTCTGGATTTAATGTCACAGAATGCCGTAAGCATACTCTACATAAGTACTATCAAGATCCCAAATCGGTCTTTATTTAGAGAAGTAAGAATTGCAAAAAGCAATGTTCGTAACAGAAAAGACGCAAGCTGACGCAGATTACTAAATAGTCAAAATTTTTGTTTGGAATGCTTCTAAAGATTCCGAACGTCGTTGATCTTAGAGTCAAAGATTAGATCTATTTTATGGCGAAATCTTCACCTGAGAGAAGCGATTACTAAAAAGATACATACTGGGCAAGTTTGTGGGCCTCTGCCCGCGTGCAGCAAGCGACAAAGTCAGAGAAATATTATGGATTTTTACCGAAAAGCAAAACAGGCAATTTTACTTCTTTTAATTGGGATACAATGTTGTAGAACCAAGAAAACAATATCAAGCTTGACCGCTGGCTGAGCCGGTCTTATGTTCGTATGGCGCTTGATGATACACGCGCAAATAATTGTGGCGCACCCTGTAGTGTTGACCTACCTTCTTCCCATTATTTTTTGAGATTTCCTCTTTAATCGATGGCCTAGGTCTAACTACTAAAGTCAAGCAATCCTAAGCCTCGTCTGCTCCACTCCGCCACAGTTTCAATATTACGCAAAATCGCTGTTTTCTCCCTTATGTTTCTAACTTTCTCCCTTTTCTCTTCCTACTCGCTATTCGCTGCGGTTTTTTTCCTAAACCCATGAATCTTACGCCACAAAACCAACAAAACATTTTTTTGCGTTGAGGAAGGCTCTGTTCTCAAAGTCTTCAGGTGCCATAGGCGTCGTGCCCTAAAAGGAGGGGCAAGATATACAAATAGAAAGCATTTGTCAAGATAAAAGCTGAACTCAAGGTGTGCGAGAAATCACTACTCAAAACGAATATCTAAAACAGCGATATCTGATCCCACACTAATTAAAGATGCTTTGAAATCAAACTTTGGATCCTTGGGAGGCGCACCGCACAAATCCTGACAAATAGACGGGATTTATCTTTGCAGCATCTACAAACGCTAAAGCCCCATTCTCAGCCATCATATATTCACCTTACAATCGCTAATGCGTACATGGCGCGCTTATTTCATTTTCCTTGAAAATTTTTGAACTTTGTATTCTCATGCGAAGATTCACTTAGTCAAATACACTTTGCTTTATTCTCACGACGCAAAATTGAGTGAACTATCATGGAGCAACAAGCAGAAATCGTGAACTTGGTCATCTCCACATCTTCCGCAGTTCCTCCTCGTATCGTTCTGGAGTGGTTGCAACCTCGATGCTCAAAAGATTTTTCACCTGGAATGCTACAGTGAATGTACTTCTTGTTCGTACGCCGTATCAAGATAGAATGAAAGTTTGGAAGTCAAAGTGATCGTGACTTTATCTTCCCCTTCTGCCCAGTACTGCGCTACGTCTTATGCTCGCCCCTGTCAAAGCGCGTAACGGTTCAAGAGCGCTTTCTACTGGAAACAGCGGATGCAATAAGCCTTGTTCACCTGTTTTACTTGAGAATCAGACGATGCAAATGAGATGTCTCCCTCAAATATTCGCTATAAGCGAAGCTGATACAATTTTTTATCACATGCAACAGGCCAAATATTTAGAGAGTATATTAGTGTGACAAGGATCATTGTCTGCGCTGCCGTCCACCTCAGTTTATGGCCAACAGCATGCTTTCTCGTGCGTACGTGATTTCAGCCTCTTACCATATTTAACTGCGGTACAGTTCGGTTTTGCAAGATCCTCATCATCCACTGCACTGACTAAAAAAGTGTGCTCTTCTTATTTGACAATTTCTCCATTTACTTTCACAAGCGGTGCAGTTCTTTATGGGCACTGAATGGTCAAGCTATCATCGGCAAAAATTTGACTGATAAGATGGGCGAATTCGTACTTCAATGCGAACGGAAAGGCTGATTATATCGTTGGTAGTAATCACTCAAATCAATCTCTTCACCATTTGAACCTTCCCATCAGAAATGGTACACCATTCAAGATGCAAAAGCTGTGCTGAGACGTAAGGTGGCGACTGATCAGAATAACTTTCGTAATGGAATTCAAGAACCTGCCCTACGAAAATTTGAGTCTTCTTTGCGAAAATTTTCTCCGAAACTCCGCTAGTTATTCATAAGCCGCTGCATGTTATTATAAATAATCATCTATGTAGATCACTTCACGACTTTCACGAATGGTCTTAACAAAAACAAGGCGCTAATTCTAAGCGCCAAAGATTGTTGTTGAAGCGATGTTTATTTGAAAGCCATGCATACCGTAGGTTTCACTTTGAAACGCTGATTATGAATTCGTTAATTGCGAAATAATTTTGAAGGAATTTCTGATTGTATTTTCCAGTAGCATCACATCTGTGTAAGTCATGTTAATCAGAATCATTCGTGTTGCACAAACTGTTTTATAATGCTGAACAACATCCAAGACAGACCGTTACTGTCCAACCGATGATTTAATTCTAATAGGTGAAAGGGAGAGAAAACTTAGCAAAAATAATTCTAGCCCCCACGCTGCGCAATATCTCTAACTCTCCTTAACCGCGCACTTTGTCCTTGAAAAAGTGTTATAAGTTCTTCATATTGTGTACTTTAACCTGGATCAGAATTTTTAGAATCCTTTACTGAGGCTAAGGTTTCGGTGAAATCATCTTCGTCGAAGCCTAGAAGGTTTCCCCTCTTTCGCTTTATTGCGTGCCTCTATCTATTGCAACAATTTTCTGACTCATACACTTGTCTTGAGTAACACTTTGAGGCATTTTTCACTATAGAATTTAAGACTTACCTTCTTGTTCACTTTCCTATCTTGATACCATAATAGTAACGGCAGAAATACGCATAACTGAGGTATCCAGTTGGTACCTGATACGTACTTGAGAATTTTGAATTTACGTGAGAGTTATTGGCATTAATGCTGTTCAAGAGGCTCACCCTCAATCGTAGCTAGAAAAACAGGCATTGAGAGATCTTGGCTGAATGCCATTGTCGTACACATTAGAGTGAGGTATATGAGTATGAAAATACATGAAGAGTAAAAGAGAGGTGCTAAGGTATTGAGGGACCTGTAAGTATAGGATTCTGATTTTTTTGTGGAGTAGCACAATACATAAAAGTAAAATCAGTCATACCTCAATGTTTCTTCTACTTGATATCGACCGCCGTAATCACCAGCGCCTCTTAATCTTTGTTGTAACCTCTAAATTCACAAAATCAAAGAACCCTTCGTTCCGTTTTTATTTGAATACCTTGTTTACTGCCCTCAGATTAGTAAAAGTGATTATAGCTATGCTTTGAAACAGCATTGATATTGACAAAGGTATCACTGTAAACATCATACGAGCCGGTGACATAGCCATACAATAGTATATTGTTCCAGTGAATCTCACTGGGAGATAAAAAACTGTGATCAGCAATGATGTCACCATGACCTAAAATTTTCTGCTTGCAAACTCGCAAGTGTCACGTGACTGTATGCACGTTACCAATATCGTATAAGCATTCTGTCAATTATTATTGCATGTTTCACTGCGACTTTTATCTGCTTTTCTCTTATTTCTTTGCAGATATGGGCCCCTTCGATCTTTATGGGCAGGGCTTATTAGCATGTGCCAAATTCGTAACTTTTAAGCTTACACTTTTGCCACAATATCATACCTGCTTTATGACAGAAGAACGTTGGTCTTTGTCCCTGGGCTACCTGGTCATCTTTTCTCTCCATCACCCATCCGTCACGAATGAGGACGAGTCCCTCGCCTGTATGCGCAGATTAGTCCACCAACATAGACCTCTACGCTTTTGTCCCCCCCCCCCCCCCCACACTAAGTTTATTTGACTACAAGAAAGCCTTCGACAGCCTTGAAACCAACCCATTCTGTCAACGCTGGTTGTGAGTGAACTCAGCTTATGTAAGGACACTAACCGGATGCTACAAGGAGCGCACAGAGACGAAGCAGCTGTTTCGTCCCCTGACCATTTCAGCTGGGATGAGATCCAACAAGGCGATACATCGCTCAAGCTTCCCACTGCGACTTGCAAAGGGTGATGAAGTTATTGGACTGGGAATTGCAAGGTATACGATGAACAGAGAAACACTCTCAAATCTTCGTTTCGGCGACAACATCGTTTTCTTTTCAAGCAGTATCACTGGAGTTGTTACCATTGCTGGAGAACCAAACGAAGCGAGGAGAATTCAGACTTCGGGTAAACCAAAAAAGGATCCAGTTTATGTAGGCGCCTTTGTGAAGATGCAGAAATGGAATCGGGAGGCATCCTCATTAAGAGACGTCTTCTTACATGTATCTTGGGGGTGTATGTCAAGAGGCGCGATGTTTATTGCCAGATGGACACCAAAAAGGACATAGAGTGTTCTATAACATCCTAGAAGTATTCAAACTTTAGAAGGAGATATATTAGGTAGTGGCATGAGTTTCCCAATCTTGCTAACTTGGAAACAATTCAAAACAGCATTTTTGAAGGTCTAAAACCCATGAAAATGCAGTTTAGAACAAATTCGTAAGTATTTCGGTCCATATTTCAGCAAAAGCTATCAAACTCAGCAAGTGGTAACCCCAGACAGGTAGTAAGCCAATGCACTTTATCTGGTACTTTTTGAAGACTCGCATAGCACTAAACTAGAGTTCTGAGCTGGTGACAGCCGGAAAAATCGCGCCTCTTGACCGTCTATCTTGGACTTTGATACTTATGGAAAACGATTCGAGGAAAGAACTCAACAAGAAAAAAAAGCAGTTTGGGCTGCTCTTGGTTCTCTGCAACTCGACCAGCTGAGGAACCGGGGACAAGCGGCTACATGTCTCAGTCGTTGTCGCAGCTGAGACATGCTGCAAACGCGCCGAAAGCTCCAGAACCACCCAAGGAGCGCTTAAGGAGTAATCTATAGATCCGACACAAGCAAAATCTCGTCGGACCCAGCACGGATATAAAATGTCACGTTTTTGTGATTTAGTGGAAGGCGTATCCAAAGCGAATCATCGATACACCGGTCACATAGTGGGAAGAACAGGCAACATGGAGAGGCTGCGAAGCAAATTGTTCTCGCAAAACCAAAAACGGGATGAGTGGACCTGTGGAAGGATGGACCAGGAGGAATTAGCTGGATGCGATTTTTGATTGTAAAATTTTTTTTGCACCTGGAACTTGTCTATGCAGACACCGAGGACAAGTAGGAAATATGATGTGTGAAGCAAGAGACAGAGAAAATTGGAAAGTCCCACAAGCCACATGAAGGTTTAGGTATCTGATATAAGTAAGTAAATGTCTTGGTAACTAAATGCTTTTTTTTCCTTTGCTGTTAGCTATATTGATAAAAAATAGTACTGAGCCAAAATTGGGGACAATACAAAACGTGAGTAACCTTTGTATTAACATTCAAAATTTGAGATCAAACGCGTTCGAGCTACTTGCTAGCCATGCTATTGGTCAGCTTTTCGAAACACAACAGATCTTCGCAACGCTCTTCACTAAGTTTCAGAAAACGAAAAGATTGAAAAAATAGAAGCACACCGCCAACTTCTTTACCTGAGCAGCTATGAGCAATGGTCCAACAGCACGATTACGGTTGTAGTCGCGCAGAACTCTGGTAGCAATACATCTCTCTATGGACAGGATGATAGTCATACTGTAGCACAACCATAACGCGCAGTTGTAAGGTAGACGAGTGTAAAAACAGTACATAATGTTTGGAATAATCTCACAACCATTATTACGTTCAATATGCATGTCGTAGAGAGTTCCGAGATGTTGTTGAAGCCTTGAAGTGCTTTTTACCGGAAGCTGTGGCTGTGAGGCAAATAAAAAGAGAATGCTTACCTGGCCAACAAATGTATAACTAAACAAGTCACATTGAAAATTATAATGAATTTGGTGTTATAATGCATAAGCTGTCGAGTCAACGTCCAACGAAAAAGAAATGCCAGTAGAGGTAAGCCAAGCAGCGAACTTATAGTATGAATACACAGTACTGCCCTTAGGAAAGGTGATTGTGCAATTCCGTCCATTTCTTGGCAGTTTGCCATTGTGAAATTTTGTTCTGAATCATACAATGGCATAACGGAGCTCCACCTGAATACGATCTGTTAAATGGTTGCTGATCTGGTTGATGACCAGTAGTGCTTTCATGCGTTTGGTGCACGTTACACTTTAAGGAGTAAAAACGCGAGCGAGAAAAGTTGAGCAGTTTTAAGAATTTGCATAGCTTTCAACACAATGCGCCTAAAAAGCAAAACGGGCTTAATCCATAGAGGTGAGACACATACGGCTCCTTTGATCAGAAAAGTAGTTGGCAAAGAAATTACTGGACCCACTCAGTGATTGCAGGTTTGGATTGTGAGGAGTATCAAAAGAATGTGCTGTGCGAGTCCAAAAGGAATTCGTTTTCTGATTATGATCAATTTAATGAGGGTCCCCGTTGCGTTTCATGTTCCATACGGTGTTGACTGCACCAAAAACTGCGAATAATAAGTAGAACATACAAGTAAAATGAGAAAGAGTAAATTCAGTTACCTTGGTCAGCGTAGATACTACGGCAAACAAAAAGAAGATGCGAAAATGAAAGATTCAGCTTCTGTTATTGGGTTGGTACATAAGTCTTGCATCAAATTTTATAAAATTTTTTGAGTAGGCAAAACCTTGCTTTCCACTCTGCTATAAGAGAATTTTGTTGCGACAGTTTCATTTCATAAGTTGATCATGAAAAATCCTTAGAAAGTGATTTTAAGATTTTGGTCTCTTAAATTGATAAACCGTCTACTAATATCGAGGGAAATTTTGGCCGGTGATTCAGAAGTGCTCAGAATTTCAAAAAAATTCTTCTGTAAACTGAAAGAAAGTTTTTTCTAATATCTCGTCAATGCTCGACGTTGAGCATTTAAAGACAGTACTGGAGAAGACGGTATATGATAAAAAGGCAGAAGGGATGGTCCATGTTTACAAAACCATCGAATTTTCACTCAAATGCTCAAAAAAATATAAAGTTTGGAGGTCACATAGCTAGGGTACACGAGACGACGAACATCATAGCGACAAGGTCTTGCTTCGCCAACTTTTGAAAAATGGCATTAAAAAGTCGGTAGAAGGAAGGGAACAAGCACAAACAGTGACTGTACAGACATAAGAGTATAGTAGGTTGTTTACTTTGCTGTGAAGCTTGTTGAATCAATTTCTACAATGGAAAAAAGGAAAATGTGGAGAGGAAAAAGATGTGGAGGACGAATTTCTTGCCTCCTCGATTTTTCAATTTGAAGACAAATTATCTTTTTCATTCTCCTGCTAAGTTGGGGGCGGCGCATATGGAGGGTCTTATCAAAAGCATATATACTTCATTCCAAATAAGGCAAATATTACTGAGAACAAACTAGGACGAAAAATGCGACAGAGCTTACCATACAACTTAATATGATGGTTATTTGAATTTACTCTAAACAAACTAGGACGAACATTTTTTACTTCTCACAGCAAGACTTATATATCAACCTAATATAATGTGGCCCTGTAACTGACAAGCTCAATGAGAGGTTTCAGTGAATCAGAGAAAAGCAAAGACCTAATTTTTGAACTTTTGCGAAAATCCGTCTCTGTCAACAAATTAGAGCCTTTGGTTCACGGTTAACCTGAATAGGCTGTGAAGTAAAGCAAATTGCAATTGACAAAGAACAGCTAGACATGCACGCACAACGTAGAAATTATTCGTGAAGTCTTTCACTTCATTTGTCTACGGAAAGGGAGGGGGGGGGAGCGGGAAGATGGAAGGTTTGAAGTGAGCAAATTTGTAAAACTGAATAGGTTCAGGTTTTTTGAAAGCAAGAAATTCTTTTTATTGAAAGTATTAGAAGGATCATACTATCGAAATGCTAGAGTCAAAGCCTGAATACATTCTTGGGCTATAAACTCATACTCATTTAGGCTGCTGTTGGAAAGATTTCTGTTATTAAAAGCGTTTTGGCTGATGATAAAGGCTTGGCTTTTAAAAACTATGCGAAAACAGCACTTTTCAGGGAAAAGAAGTCTCGTTAAATAGTTAAAGGCAGTGCCCGGGCAAAAACTCGATTTTGAGATTTTGTGCTTACCCGAGCCTATTTACTATGCTGAATCCGAAAACCCACATTAGAAGGCGCGAAAACGGCGAAAAAGGGCTCTAACGCAGGAAGGAAATCGAAAGTGGGCGGGGTTCTCCACACTGTGAATTTCGCAGTCCCAGTTTCTGGAGCGATCTCTCGGTCCCGATTTCCAGTCATGCATTTGCACCTGGCCTGTGGAGATCTCAGGTCGGTAGCGGAATTGGGAAAATCGCTTCAGAAGCTGGGACCGCAAAATTCACAGTGGGGAAGACCGCGCCCACTTCTGATTTCATTCCTGCGTTAGAGCCTTTTTTTGCCATTTTCGCGCTTTCCAATGTGGATTTTCGAAGTCAGCATGGCGAATAGGCCCAGGTAAGCACAAAATCTCAGAATCGAGTTTTTGCCCGGACACTGCCTTTAAATACAGCGATTAAGAAACTTTAGCATGAATCTGACATAGCAAATCATGGGCACATAAGCTGAATTAGCAAATTGTTTACAACTGAAAGTCTCTAGGGACACTGTGATTGACAAAAGCAAGACAAGACGTTTTCAAAGGTTTTATAATTTGAATCGCAACTGCCACTGAAGACCCAGTGCTCATTTACTTTAAACAGCTGATTTGTACTTTAGTTTTCCTATAAAACATGGTGAAAATTCTGGATTTCACGCATGGCAGACACCAGGGCTAGGTAGTCTCCAAAAACAGCCAAGTACTATGTTGCTGATTTAGAGAAACTTGGAATTCTTCCAAAGGATCTCTACTGCGATTTGTCGCAATTACTTCAGTCGTATTGCCAATCCTACAAAGTCAGTTAAGAGAGATAGCTATGGTAATAAAGAAACATTTTGCAAATTGTATCTTCGGCCCATGTAGACTTCGCACTTTACAAGATTGGAGGCGGCTTATACATACGGTACTGGACTTTAACTCACGGAAAGAATTTTTCCTAACTCAGTATAAGAGTTTGCAGACTACGCCCGCAACCTCAGCTAGAATTTCTAAGATCTTGGTACAGCCGTTTTGATAGAGCAGACCAGTACGGTATACAGAGTGTTGTAAAAGCAATTAATAACTCTCTTCCCACACAATCTTTTGCTTGATTTCAAGCACCATTCGGTTGAGTAGGCTTCAACTTATATTTACTGTAAAAAGTGAATCACTGCCGCCTTTCATTACTGTAGGATTACGGTAGTCAGCATACAGCGCCATTATAGATAGGCCGTTCACAAAAGGTTTCAAGAAATTCTGAAAGGTTGTGCAGAAGTGTTTTCAAACCTGCCGATTTCATTGAACAACTTTTTACAATTTTTGATTTTATCCATTTTTGAAAAACACTGAAAAAAACGTTACTGCGGTCTACCTAGTATAACTCCTGAAAGATGTTTTACGGTATGTGTAAATTTTACTAGTGGCGCCTCAGTTTAGCCTAATGATGAAGTTTTCGGCCCGTCGAGTATCCTTCATAAGGCAAAGTAGCCATTAATGGCTCAAGACCTTCTTTAAAGTTCCTACCGTAATCCCACAGCAATGAAGAGATTTGGGTAATTCATTCTCCAAAATCTAAGTTGAAGCCTGCTCTGAATGATGCTTGAAGCTAAGCAAAAAACTTTGTAGGAAGAGAGTTAGTACCGATTGAAAAGTGCTTAAATTTGAGACACCCTGTATTTACATTTGTTCAATACCTTTGCTCAAATCGGAAAAAGGAACGAGAATTACTAAAATGAGGCTCATAAGAAATGTAAGTCGAGAAATGTGGTACGTTATAATTTCTTAGTAGCTTACAATCAAAGATTGCTTGTTTAAAAGTAAGTTGATAATTCATCTTATTGTCTCAATTATAATTACATAATAGTCGCATGTCTGGCTTGCTCACTGCTAAGCGATTTCTGGCACACTTTCCTTCTCTTTAATAGTTCCTAGACGTCATAGCATTATACGAAATTACCACATTTACCGTAATGTTAATCAAATGCTTTGGACTATTTGTCGAGAAGGGATATGCGACTTCCTTTTCTGACATTTTCCTTGAATGCGGAAGCAGTAGATGAAACATTAAGTCAACTACATAATCCTCTCATTATAAGTAACACTGCCAGATTTGATTAATGTTGACAGTCATTCATTTGGATTGGACGTCAAGCGTGTGAATAAGAGTCAAAATGCCCAGAACAAAGAAGATCTCAAAATCAGAACGACATTTTTGTGCAGACAATAAAATATGTCATTCCTCTTAACGTCGGAGAGTTCAGTTTATTATAACTTTCTCCCGAAAAAACAAACTTTTCATGCAGGATTTGGAAAAAAAGAACACCACAGCAGCAGAAACGGTCCAAAAGAAATCGTAACTGATGGTCAAAGCACTAGTGACGTTGACTCTGATATAAAAGCCCCATATACTTCACATAGTACTGTGCTGTCGTTATAGCCACATTTTCCTTAGTTCCTCGTCATATCGTTCCGTTGTAGTGGCGATTTCGGTGGTGAGGAGACTTCTTATCTAAATTCTATCATTTGACATTTGACAATGAAAGCAGGGAAACGGATATCAACAGCCGTCAGGTTAGGGTTAGGTATCTATCTCAGATCCGTCACCTAGTGGCTTTGGCAGACAAATATCGAAGCTTCTAAAAAGGTTAATTTTTGAATTTCCCAATGTTTCCAATTAGCTGGTAGAATAGAAGCCCCGTTTTCCCTCTTTGATGAGCAGAATGTTGTAAGCATGAATGAAAGGATAACCAAGACAGCTCTTCCTCTTTTGTGATCCATCCCAACAGCCCATGTCCTTTCACCCAACGACTCAAATTTTTAGAAAAAGTCACCCCTTTCTCACCTTATTAGTGAAATTTTTACTGCGATACCAAAGTAGAAACGGCAAGAACATGCAGAACTGAGGCATCCAATTGGTACCTAGAATGCAAAGATAAACGATAACGTAACTGGTACACCGAATGTAGCGGTTGTTGATTTACTCACCTTCAATCACTGCCAGAAATATAGGTTCACTGAATTTAGTACCGATAGTCATTGTGAGGCACATCAATGCCAGATAAGTGAAAATGAATGCATATGACGAGTAGAAAAACGGCGATAAGGTATTCAGCGATCTAGAGTCAGATTGATTTGACAGAGAGTTGCAAAAATGAACATACCTAAGCGTTTCCTCGACTTGATAACGTGCACGCAAATCTCCTGTAGTTCTTAGTTTCATCTTAATTTCCTAAAATAAACTATCATAGACTTTACCGAGGATACAATGCAGCGTAGTTACCTTGTTGACCCCTTTCAACCTGGTAAATATAATTATTCCTATACTTTGGATGATCATGGAGATTGATAAGGGTACTACTGTGAAAAGCGGTTTGCTACACGACATTGCCATACAGTAATACGTTACAACTCCATCAAGTTGCACCGGAATATAGACAAAGGTCAGCAATACTGCTGATACCACAATCTGAAGTTGATATTATACTGTTTTACCACAATTGCGGCGTTTAAGAACATGTTCTGTAATTTTTTCTATAATTTTTTTTATTGTGATTGATATTTAGTCGATTTTTTGACATCAAGTTGAATTTAGAGAATATATTAGGTCGTTCCGAAAGTAATGTCGCTTTTTTCAAACGTACGCTACATCTCGTGGAACAAAGATATGTAAGAGGTTTTGCTAGCATTTGATGCAGCATCTCATTCTCTTTCTAATGATTATATAATCACTGCACAAAATTCAACAACCTGTCGAAAAATTATCAAAATCTGCGACCCATGCTTTTGTGAAGGCCAAGTTTCAAAATTTTTCTAAATTTTTATAATAATCCTTGGAAGGAGTCCAGGTAATGGATGGATAGAGCAAACCCTACAGGAAAAAGCACTACTTTTTTCTACTTTCCAGTGCTCGTCACAATTTTTATAATGATTTTTTGATGGAACCACCGAATTTTAGCAGGCTCGTCTCAGACACAAATGCATCAAACGCCAATAAATCTTCGGATTTTGAAACTTACAAAGATGGATTATGGTCTGACACTAATTTTACAAACCAAATGAACATTCACAGCTTCAGATTAGCAACTTTCGAAATTCCCGGGTACAGCCTGGGGCGCCCTGGAAAACCTGAGCTATGATGATTTTATCCAAGAAAATTTGATGAATCGGAAACAAAAACAACTGGTAGGAAGGGGAGAAAAAGCTGCGTCGAATGACACCCGAGTTGCTTGCCGGTTGTTGTTCTGTGAGGTTTGAGTTGACCAAATATGGAATTTGATGGCATTGAAAAATTGATTCCAGAAACCTTAGGAAGCAAGCTAAGGAAAAGAAAAAATTACTCTCTGTCCTATAAAGTTTGCTCTATCTACCAGTCACTTGCGCTTCTTCGGAGAATAGATACAAAAATTCAGGAAAATAGCCGAACTTGACCACCTTGGAAAAAAGCATAGGTCGCAGATCTTGGTAATTTTCCGAGAGCTCACTGAATGTTGTGCAACGAAATTACAATCATTACAAAGAGGATGAAATGGTGCATCGAATGCTCGTAAGAACTCTTGAAAATCTTGATTCCATGAAATGTGGCGTTCATTTGAAGAAAGCGACATTGCTTTCGGAGCGACCTAATACATACAGTTAGTGCGAAGAATGGTTCTAAGCCAAGGTTCGTACCAATCGCGTTAGAGGTGACGTAAGAGGTGGAAATCTAATTAGGAATGCTTCTAACCAAAGCAACCGGTTGAAAGGAGACAAATGTTGCCGAAGTCCGATGAAAGCTGATTTGAAAAATGCAGCCCACTGCGAAACGGTTCTCTGAAGTTGGCTGTGACGTGAGAAACAAAAATGCAAAAGCGCTGCGTGAAGGATTCAGACATGCGTCCCCTATGCAATAAATAACCGCGCGCTGCACATTCTCTCATGATAGCACGCGATGAAGTGCTTCTATGTGCGACCTGGACAAAGATGTGAATTTCTAAGATGTTTCGCAGGTAAGGACTGCGCTTTTGAGATCAGCATTCATCACCGAGTTTAGCGACATATATCTCATCTGGAATGGCCAGTTCGACTAAAGCAGCATTCTGTAAGCTCAAGCTCAAATTCATTCGTAAATCATTCAGATCATCGACAGACTTGTCGGTTATTTAACACACTCGTTTGATCGACTTAACACAGGTCGCGAATTTAGCTGAGCTCGTGCTTTTACAAAGAAAGTTCTCTTGTTTGAAGTGACGATTCGGAAAGTGATGTATACCAATGGGTACTCAGACAGCGGATCGGACCCCTCCGCCGGAGAAGTGGCAGGGTCGCGGCGTATCCCCAGCGGTGGGTCTCCCATTTGTCCGGCGGAGCCCTCCCATTTTCTGCTCCGGATACCTCCCATTTCTGCTCCGGATACCTCCCATTTTCTGCTCCGGATACCTCCCATTTTCTGCTCCGGATACCTCCCATTTTCTGCTCCGGAGCCCTCCCATTTCTGCTCCGGATACCTCCCATTTTCTGCTCCGGATACCTCCCATTTCTGCTCCGGATACCTCCCATTTTCTGCTCCGGATACCTCCCATTTTCTGCTCCGGATACCTCCCATTTTCTGCTCCGGATACCTCCCATTTTCTGCTCCGGATACCTCCCATTTCTGCTCCGGACCCCTCCGATTTTCTCCGGCGCGTGTCTTCCAAATTTGGCGGACACGCGCCGCGCAGACCTCTGCGGCGCGGAGTCCGTCAAATCTGGCAGAGTCGCGCCGGAGAAATGGCGGACCTTTGCAGCAGGGCCGGAGAAGCCTCCCATTTGCCTGCCAGTGATGCCACCGCGATGGACCGCCCATTTGCCCTTCTCTCATTGGTCAACTGGGTCCGGCGCGACCCTGGCAGTTTCCGAGGGTCCGGCGGAGGGGTCCGATCCGCTGTCTGAGTAGAGCTTCGAATAGATGATGAGAGATGATGTCAGGATATACTTTTTGTATCTGCAAGGAGCTGTTCTGAAAAAAAGTTATGAGCTTTCTCATGTCAATTTCGTGCATTTTTTGTCGTAATATTACGACAGTTTTTAAAGAAATGTATGCAGGCTCAGGCAAAGCACTTAATAGGCGTTGTAGATCTAACCTGATATCATCTGAACATTTTCAAGTGCTGTCCATCCATGTACTAGTTCAAAGGTCGTCATTTCTTTTGAACTCACTTCCTTCATAAATACACAAAAGGCCACAACTTTTATAGGAAAACGCTTCGCAGATACAGGAGCTATATTTATGATCAGTGTTTTAGACTCTGTTCGTAAGTATACATCACCTCCGAATCGCCACTTCGACCAACCGAACTTCCCTTGTTAGTAGGTGTGAAGTATATCGCGAATTGGGCACCATCTCCACTTTTAGGAGAATAGTGCGGGTGGCAAAAGACGCAAAAAAGTAGCGCGAGATTTGAGCCTACGCCAAGCTTGCGACTTGCTTACTTACTTAGATACTTAGATGGCCCGTCTTCACGTGACGTGCGGACCCCAGTACAGAAGTTGCCATTGATCCCTGTCCCTCGCTTCGGACATCCACGATCTTCTTGGTCGTCGTCGGTGGCTGCGTCCACGAGTTTTAGGTGCGATAATCGTATCCAGCTGATTTTTCAGCTAATCCATTCGTTCCACGAACACGTCTGCCCATCACGTTGGTGGTCTTCCTCGGGGACGTTTGGCTTCGCGAGGAAGCCACTCAGATGTTCTTGGTGTCCATCTGTCTTCTGTTCTTCTCATGATGTGATCGGCCATCGGTGTTTCGCTTTCGCAATGTATTCCACTGGGTCACGAGGACGGGACATTCTTCTCATATCCGCACTGCGAAGTCCGACTGGATGTTGCTTGCGTCGGGTCATCTTCAAAAGACTGCGCTCTAGCGCTCTGTGGGTGTCCGTAAGGCTTTCGACGTGGCTACTGTGTCAGCTCAAGTTTCAGCTGCGTAACAGAGCGCCGGGAGAACGGTTGAGTCGAACAGGTGGGCACGAAGCTCCGTGTCCGTCAGTTGGTCGGTGACTTCCTTCAGAGGCCCGAAGGCGGCCCAGGCTGCTCTTCTTCTCCTGTTAAGTTCTCCCCTCAAGTCGTTCTTCATGTTCATCGAACGTCCGGGTGGAGGACATTAGGTCGCCGAATTTGGAAGAGTCCCGCGCGGATTCCCTGCAGGAACGCATGTCCGCGTATGTACAAGGGTGCGTATTTGTCGCAAATGACCGCGGGGACCGCCCTCTTTCGGCGACCTAATGTCCTCCACCCGAACGTCCGAGATACACGTAAGAAGACGTCTCCATAATAGGGGTGCCTTCCAGTTCCATTTCTGCATCTTCGCAAAGGGCGTTCTTCATGAACCGAGTCTTCTTCCGATTTATTCGCGGTCCTATCTTCTTCCCTACTTCGTTTAGTTTCTTCAGCATCGCCTCTGCTTCAGTGATACTACTCGAAAAGAGAACGATGTCATCCGCAAACCAAGGTTGAACAGGAATCTCCCATCAACTCGTATTCCTCTGTCGTCCTAGTCCAGTAACTTCATCACCCACTGCAAGGCCGCACAGCTTCGGCGAAATAGTATCACCTTATCGAACCCCCTTCCCGATTGGAATGGTCAGGGGCGATGGAGTAACTCCATCTTTGTTGTACAGTCCTTGTAGCAGTCGGCTAGTGTCCTCAGGTAAGCTGGGTCCACTCCTTGATCGACTAGCGCAGACAGGATGGCGTTGGTTTCGACGCTGTGAAGGCTTTCTCGTAGTGGATGAAGGTTAGGACGAGAGGCAGCCGGTACTCCCGGCAGACTTCTATGACTCTCGAGACCGTCTGGATGTGGTCCCTGCAACTGAATCCCTTGCGGAGTCCAGCTTGTTCTTCTTGGGGTTGGGCTTCATCCAGTGTCCTAGATATGCGAGCGAGGATAATCTTCGTGAAAAGTTTGTACAGCACACTCAGCGGGCATATTGGACGGTAGTTCCGAAAGTCTTCCCGTTCACCCTTCTTGAAAAGAAAAGGTTCCTGATGTTCTCCACTGGTCGGAAATCCTTTCCTTCTGAAGGTAAGATGTTAGGTGCGACACGAGAATCTCGTGTAGACGTTGTCCTCCAGCTCGCAGAAATTCGACTGAAAGATGGTCTGGTCCTGGAGCCGTGGACGTCTTCGTGGTCTGAATCAATGTGCGCACTTCAGCAGGTAGAATTTGTGGTGTTACTTCTCCAGTGGGAACAGCGGGCATCGGCACGGTGAAGTCGGAGTTCCGTCTTCGTTTGATAGTGCAGCCAGCGGTACGTGATATTCACAAAGGTCCCTTCGGCACTTCTTGAGAGTTCGCCTTCCTTCGGCTGCTTCCAGTATCTTGGCTTGCCTGTACTTCCTGAGATCCTCCTGCAAATGTTTTGCAACTGGCATTGGCTATCAGTCGCTCGATAGTTGCATTTGGACTCTGCCTCAGAAATCTTCCTTTTTCGAGCAATTCCTTGGTGGTCTTCGAAATGGTCTTCGAGATGCGTTCCAAGTTCTTCTCAGAAGTCACTGAGGCGCACTCTCCGCATTCTCGCAATCCTTTCAGAAGCCGGTCGTAGTCGCGCGGGTCCTCCTCGATGGGCCAGTCACAACTTTATATGAGCTCTCCAGCCTGTTACCGTCATAAACGACATTCTTCCTTCTTGCGGTACTGTGACAGACTTTCTTTTCCAGCCTGCGACTGAAGCGTATCTTCGCTCGAAGGAGGCGGTGATCAGAGCCACTGCAAAAGGATGGAACTATTGAGACATCAAGCAAGCTCCACCTTCGGTTGGTGAGAATATGGTCGATCTCCGCATGAGTCGTTCCGTTGAGCGATTTCCAAGTCCACCGGCGATGTTTCTGCTTCAAGAAGATGGAATTCCCATGGGTCGTGCGGCGGAGAGTAGCCCAACGTGACGATTGCCGTTTTCGTTTCGAAGCCCATATCCAAACTCTTCCCGATCCTATACTCCTCTTCTAGTGGCATCCCGATCTTCGCATTGAAGTCGCCCACAACGAACTTTTAGAAGGACTTCTCGTTGTGGACGACGTGCTACTCGTCTTCGTAGAAAGCATCTAGTTCTGATTCGTTAGCTGCTGATATTGGTGAGTAGCAGTTGATGATGCTGATGGTCTTCTGACGTGGAGGCCGTAGTCGTAGGATGGCTAGTCGAGGTGACAGGATCTCATGCGAATCGACAAAATGGACGATAGTTGGGTGGACGACAAAACCAACGCCTCCAACGTTTCGTGATGGAACCTTCTCACCACGAATGATGAGGGTCCCATCACTCATCTGTCGCACGTCCTTCTTCCTGGACTTCGTTTCCTGCAGAGCGATGGTGGTAGTTGATGTGCTCTGCAGCGTCGAGAAGAGCGTGGAGGTCGGCGTTTGTGGAGACTGTCCTGGCGTTATAGGTGCAGAGCATGAGGAGTCTCCATGGCGTGTTTCCGGACAGACGTGTCGTTTTTGTCCAGTCCGAAAGGCGCTCTGAGTATCCTGACATCGTTCTTGCTACCACCCGACGCCGTAGGCGGGATCCGATGCGCAGGGTTTATCTCTCTTCTTTTTGCTGATCGGGTAATAAGATTTTTCCCCTACAAGGGCAGACTTACTAGACCACCTCTTGATTTCCACAGGGCGATCGCTGACCTCGGATGTGGAGCGGGAGGGACCGCCTAGCGACCAGAAGAAGTCAGACGGCGGGGGTTCTGGCGTGGCCGGTTCTTGGCTAGGCATCCGGCCGAAACCGGCAACGTCGAACCCCTTCACAGCTTGGGAGGCCCTACCAGAATATACACGCGGCTGTGCATCGCAGTTCGACACCCAGTGTCACCCCCACGCCACGATGAGGGGACCGACCATTGTGGCGGAGCTTGCGACTAAATGACGAGAATTATAGAATTAACCCAAATCATAGTAAATTGGATGAAATTACAAGAGAGACGCAGTCAAAGCACGCGTTACGAATTGCTTCATTGATAGCATGTTATCACAGAATTGTATTGCATTCGTCCTCTGCAAAAACAGTGGTTTACGCTTTCTGTATGACACAGTAGCTATGCTCGCTGATAGCGATAACTACGTCAAAGGTTTGATGCACGTGGGCGCGCAGTTTTGCGGAGAAATTGTTACAACCCTCGCGCTAGGTTAGCGACCTCGTTAACACGATCGTTGGGTTTGTTGAAGGATAGTTGGTGAATTGTGAATTTTTCGCGGAATTCCGAATGAGTGCGAACTAGCTTCGTAATTCGCTATGAAATGTCGCGGCGTTAGCTTGTTCATGTTGTGACATTTTTGTGGAGATCACGCTACAAGCCAAGAAACCATTACCTGTGCACATATGAGCAATGGCCCCACAATGCGATTATTGAAGTATTGATGAAGAAATTTGGTAGCAACAGATCTTTCTATAGATAACATGATAGTGGTACTGTAGCAAAGCCATAATGCGCAGTTATATGGTAAACGTATGTAGAAACAATAAACCGTACTGGGTATTATGTCACAGCCGCTGGTATAGCTGCTAAGGATGTCGAGAAGTTTTACTATGTGTTGGTGGATTCTAAAAAGTTGGTATCATTTGATAGAACCTGTCATCAAGAACCCTTCAGGGAAAGGGAAATACCTGGCAAGAAGATGAATGAATAGGCAGATTATGTTGAAAATGATTATAATTTTAGTATTGAAATGCATGAGGGTCCGTGTTAAAGTCCATCGAAAGAAGAATACTAGCAGGGGTAAAGCGATTATCGAACATATTGTGTGAATGAGTAAGACTGCTCTCAATGACGTAGATCTGGCTATTTCATCCATTTCATTGCAGTTTTCAATGGAAGTGGAAGATTCTACGAAATCAAGTTGCCGAACTCCGATGTCGAACATGGTCTAAAAACAAAACCGAAGATAGCAATCAGAAAAATAGCCCATAGGAATTGAGATATGTTACGAACATTGGTGGAAGCGAGATCTGTGTTTTCCATACGGTGCCGAATACGATTTTGATCAAAACTTAAAATCGAGGCGGAAGCTGCCTGCTTAAAAAATGATGGCTCCCTAAAAAATACTTCTCATTCGTTCGCATAATTCCACTAAATCATTGCAGAGTAAGCAGACTAGCTATAAGAGTTTCATTCGAATTGTCTTGGATTAGGTCTAGTCATATCAACAAGAAGATAGAGGATTGTCAGGGAACTAGGTTGTTTAGGTGCTTTGAGTGTTGCTTGCTTGCTTGCTTATAGGTTCCTTTGAGTGTCAAAGCTCCAACGGTTCGTTTATTCGCGGCCATCTCGCGCGAACCTTGCGCTGCGTGCTCTCACGTATCCGCTGGGCATTTTCCCACGTCTAGCAGCGAATAGGGTCTGTCGAGGCATGGGAAAATGCGCAGGGACCACGTGCGCTAACCAGGGCCCGGCACAGATCGTCTGAAAGCAGGCTGGACTTCGTTTTTGGAGCAAAAAGCAAAGGGGGCATCGTTTTTGCTGAGTCGGGGCTGAAAATCAATGATATGCGCCATTTAGTCGAACACAAGCTTTTCAGACAGGTTTTCACACGATTAACATACTCTGTCGTGTATGGCGGAAAGTGCGCGCGATTTGAAAGCAAGGCTAAAATAAACAAATTGCTTGTTTACAGCGCACATAGAACCATATGACACCAAATTTGAACTGTATGCATAGAAAATTATTTGAGGAAGAATTATGTAAAAAGTTTTGGAAACTTATGTGAAGGAATACCTATTCCAGATTTAGATCGTCTCCAGACGGCCACCAGACGATCTGAGATCGTCTGGAGCATATATTTCTGTAAGTTCACATAAGTTTTGGATATTTCTATCATGGATGGATTCCCCGGCCAAGAATCTGTCCCTGAGCATAAAGACATTTTCATATTGCCCCCTGTCCATCTTTTATTGCCCTCATTTTATTCTGAAATGGCTTTGTTAGATATGGCGCCCCAGCGCCAAACTCGTGTACCTCTGCAGCATTCCGCTCTACTATGAATTTTCATTCTTGTTTCAGATAATCTGTTTAGATTTTGTTTGATAAGACACTGGGGTGTTGCCTAATGTCGTTTTGCATGTTAGATCAGTGGTATCTTTCTTTTTGAACCTTGTGAAAGTAGAAGTTCAAGTTTTGTGCCTGTGTTAAGCCCAATCTCTTGGAGCTATTGCATCAAAGTCATTTAATGTGGTGAATAAGGTTTTGTGGCTCTGAAATTGTTTTGTTTTCAGGTTTAGTTTGGGAATGTCTAAATATCCTTTCAGTCGGACATGTCTTTGTCGCATATTGCCAGTCATATCAGTTTCAACGACCAAGACAAAATCAGACGGCAATCGAATGTAGAGACATGGCTGAAGAATTAACTGAACTGCGAGAAACGGCTGGATTGATATCTAGTAGAGGTAGGTTTTCTGTGGCTTATATTCCTGATGTATTTCACTTACAGAACAGTAGTTTTATAGGCATGCGGTAATTCCTTGACAGTTTTTTTCTGATTTCTAGGAGTCTGGCTAGCACAAATTTGTCGTAATCTGCATGCCTACTTGGGCTCTTCGCTTTTTGTACTTGGATGGTTCCGGTGTGTTTCGGAAAGTTCCAGAAGTTGAATGCATTGATTCTGTTTGCGATGTGGAAGGCAGCACATGCGACATTAGGGTTAGATTACTCTCTCGACAAAACGTGCTGTGGAGGATTTTTGCTCCATTACGTAAAAGAAGCCAGCTTAATTGCAGGACAATGCTGATAAAGGCACTGCTTGGCTGCCATTCGCCCAAGATTATCCCTACACATCATTTTTCGAGGATTTTCTTGCTTCGTTACTTAGAGGTTGTTGACTAGTTACTCAATTCAGTCATTGACTTTGCGCCACACTTGTGCTATATATCTTACTGTTAGATCTCTTGATTGCAAAAGAAACTTTTCCATAGTAATGGAAGTAAGCTCACTTTCGCTAGTCAGGTCAAATCCTGACGATTGTGTACCAAGTTTTCATATCGAAAGTAATGATGCTTATGTTCTACGGTGAGAATTTTAGTGAATATCTGATGCTCACTAGTTCTTGAAATTTGAAGAGTGTAAAGTTTTGCAAATCACCGGAATGTAGTCAAATGCAGTAGTTTGTGAATCTATCACTACTTGGTATACTTTACGGTTTCATAAGTGATACCAATCAAGCAGACAATCCTTGAAGTTGATTGTTCACCAAGCTATTCTTTGCGTTTTCACAAACGCTTCTGACATGATTTTCATGGACTGATAACCGATTATATTAGGTCGTTTCATAAGTTCGTAGACTTTTTATTTTTGTCGCCGTTTTTCGATGAAGCGGTTGGTTTACGGCAAAGTACCTATACCAATAAAAAGAGAAAATTTTGCTCTACAAGAACTGCTGTTCGTTTTTGGAGCAAACTTGAATCCCCTTCTTTTACGACTTATCAAAGCAAAATTTTTTGAGAGGCAAAAATTGGCGATTGCGGCAACTGCAACTTTCGATCCGCATACGGAGCCACAAGTGGGAATTTTTTGTCTGAAGTTGTTATGAGTGATGAGAAACAACTGTTTGTGGTACTACGGTGCATATAAAAGTGGTCTCCATATCCAAAGAGAGGCTATAAAGAAAGATTAAGCGCACGTTTACCACGTGTGTAGATGTTTTGCGTTTGGCACAATTTTAAAAAGTTCCCACGTTAGAATTTTTTTTGAGAAAGCGTAAAATGTTGGTCAGAGCTTGTACTCATACATCTACACCACTTAGAAGAACGCATCCATTCCTCAAGTTCCGATAGGAGGACCGACACATTGTGTCGCTGAATAACGCGCCAAACTCAAGCGACAGCAGTCAAAGACAACAACCATTGGGACCTTGTTCAAAAGGTTCCATGCATATTGGCATGCTGCAAATTTGTCAGTGTTTCAGTCTTGCTTGCTACTATCCATCCCGCCTACCTATGACAGAAACATCTTGCGGAATACGGACCAAATGCGGAAAGTGCAGTTGCCGCAATCGCCAATTTTTGCCTCTCAAAAAATTTTGCTTTGATAAGTTGTAAAAGAAGGGGATTCAAGTTTGCTCCAAAAACGAACAACAGTTCTTGTAGAGCAAAATTTTCTCTTTTTATTGGTATAGGTACTTCGCCGTAAATCAACCGCTTCATCGAAAAACGGCGACAAAAATAAAAAGTCTACGAACTTATGAAACGACCTAATATATCAGCGGATTCTTAGTGCGAAGAATACGCAAACGTAAAATTCACGTGGTGCAGGACATTTGTTGCAGTGTCAGTCCTTCTAAAGTCGGCTGAGTTGTATAATTTCTAGCAATCATGACTCTTATTAGTTAGCATTGGTCGTTTTCGTTTCGACTAGTTGCGAACACAGCTATATAAGCCCAAAAGAATAGGGTAATCAGCTAAAAAGCTACTCGAATCTGAGTTTGCGGCTAATACTTGAAAATCTAGTGAAATTTGACCAAAAGGGTGATATCAAAATGTGGGCGACGCAAGCGTTCTTGTATACCTTCTGACCTCCTTATTATCGATTAAGTAACATAATGAGCTAGCATAATGGGATTATGTTGGCTTTAGATTTTTGAACATAGGAGTTTGCAAGATATGATTCCTCATGCGTACTCTTATATGTATAGATCACTGACACAATGATGTTGACGCTCACATGTATGGATTACGGAAAAAAATCAGATTTGCTATTCTAAGAGAAAGCTATAAACACGCTTCTCCCTTTTCATATGCAGAAAAGCAATAAGTTCCAGTTAACCGAACAGGCGCACTTAGGAGTTGGGTATCCCTGACTGCCAGCTAGTTAAAGAGGTAACGGAAAATTAGCGTAGCGGCTACTGAAGTACAGGGGCTTTCAATCTGAGTGTCACAGTCGACGTGGTTCACTCCTTTGCGAGCCGCCTCGCTTGGGTCTTTCACGTGGTGCAATAGCGTTATCGGATGCGCTATTGTACCACGTGAAAGACCCAAGCGAGGCGGCTCTCGAGGGAGTGAACCACGTCGACCGTGACACTCAGATTGAAAGCTCCTGTAGAAGCCAGTGATTTCATTAACATCGCTTTGCGCATAGCAGCGTTCGTCATCTTATATATAAAGCTGAATGTCTGTCTGTCTGTCTGTCTGTCTGTACGTATGTGCGGAATAGAAATTTTTATTTCTGAACCGATTTGGACCAAACTTGGCACACACATACTTCGGGGCAGGGAGCGTGTCATAGGCTACTTTTCGTTATCGATCGATATCGATTTTATCGATTTTTTGCAAAATTTGAGCTACAGGGCTGGGAGTTGGCACAGGGGGGGAGGGGGTAATCAAGCATGCTGATCACAAATATATTATTGACAGGCCCGGGCGGAGCCGGGTTTGCCAACTAGTCCTCGATAGGCGCGAAAATCTTTGTTTGCACATTTGAGCCGATGAAAACGGTAAATGACAGTGTCATATATATCCCATGCGTGCCCCAATGCTATTCAAGGCTGCCGCGTGCGAACCGCCCGCGCAGCCTGCCCGGTAGTGGCGCATTTACTCTGTCCTATGGTTTGAAGCATTGTTTTTCAAAATTTTGAAGTTAATAGTCACAAGAGAAAACCACAACTCTCCTCGTTCGTGTACACCACAATTTTAGAATAAATCAAATTTTGCTAGTAGTGTCTGCGACATATGATAAGCTTTCGGGAAACGTCGAATGAGCTTTCCAAACTGATGGGTTATTTTCAGGTACGTATGCGATCGCTACCTACGAGTCTACCCGTGAGGCTGAGCTTACATAATGGAATACATGACTAGTCCATGTTGATTGTTCCCGTTCAAATCATTTATTCACATCATGTTTCAGTGACTAGGTTTCAAGTTTCACTTTTGACTTGGATTGATAGAATGTTTTGGGTAATTCAAAATGGTGCAAAATGGTGAATCATCGTCAACACCACGATGCTCTACTGCTTGCCGCAGTAGAGCATCGTGGTGTTGACGATGATTTTCCCGACATCAAAGTTCTTACTTGCGTTATATGAACAGATTTTTTCAAATAATAAAGATCTC